TCTCCCAACAGACAAAAGATGCTTATGTTTTCTCTCAACCCTCCCGTTTTGTTGCGGAGTACCCACACAAGAGGTCTGGAAAATAATACCCGTAGTATCAAAAAAATCATGCAAACAATTAAACTCCGTACCATTATCACTTTGCACAATTTTTATGGTTTGAGAAAATTGTCTTTCCACCATAGCAACAAACATCAAGAACTTACGGAAAACCTCCGTTTTATCATTCAGTAAATAAATCCAAACTGCTCTAGAGTAATCATCAACTATTGTCAAAAAATAACGAGCACCGCATGACGAAACATGTCTATACGGACCCCACAAATCACAATGTATTTTTTCAAAAATTCTAGATGCTTTATTGTCACTCAAAGGAAAACTATCTCTAGGATGCTTAGCACGCATACATACTTCACATCCTTTATTTAAACAAGCTTTATTACTAACTGTGGGAAGCAACTTAACTACCCTCTCAGAAGGATGACCCATACGACGATGCCACAACTCCAACTCTGAATTTGCAGCGCTCACATGATGCACCGAATCCATTTTGCTAAAGTAATACAATCCGTCTCTCCTAGTCCCCGTTCCAATCAGCTCCTTCGTGTGGTCCTGTATAGCACAAATATAAGGGTTAAATTGGACAGTACAATTAAGGGCATCGTTGAGTTGCGAAACAGAAATCAAGTTACAACTCAAATTAGGGACATAGAGTACTCCGGTGAGAGTAATCTTGTCCGATAAACAAACAGAGCCAATAAGAGACGACGACACCGTGTCTCCATTGGGCAAACCAACCGGACACTCGAAGCTTTTTGTGTCAAAAAGCCAATATTTTTCTCCAGTTACGTGATGTGTAGCTCCTGTATCAATAATCCAAGAGGTGTCATCAAACTTACCACTCAAACGATTATCAGAAATTGTAGCATTACCCATCAATCCCGTAATTGCCTTCCATTGTTCACTAGAGAATAAACGACCCGAAGCAAAAGAACTTGTATCCTCCGACTTCGAGCCACCACCCGAAACTGCATTAGCCTTCACCGGAGCACCCCGACCACGACTAGCTGCGGGTGGCCCCCCTGGCTGCCAGCAGCACCCTCCGGCCAGCCATGTTTGTCATAACAGCGGTTTTCTTCATGGCCTCGTTTTTTACAGTAAGCACAAATTTTATCGGACCAACACTTCACGGTTTCATGACCCACTTTCTTACACTTGTCACACACTGGCAGCTGCCTGTCAGAACCACCGGCGCCACCTGCACGACCCCTCCCTGCAGCAGTTCGTACAGCGAACCCGAGAGCAGGAGCAGGATCCTCCTTTGTACGAGAAATCCCTCTAACATTCTCCTCCTGTGAAACCTGTTGGTATGCTCTGTTCAAAGAGGGCAAGGGATCTTGCAAGAGCAATGTAGAACGCAAAGCAGCATAATAATCAGAGTACAAACCGAGCAAAAATTGTTGGAGACGATCCCCATCACGCCGCTGTGCGTGTTGCTTCCCAACATTACAAGAGCACTTCCCACATTTACAAGAAATTAGGGGTTCCAATCTATCAAGTTCATCCCACAAAACCGCTAATTTACTATAATAAACCGCAACTGTCATGTTTTTCAATTGTTCACATCTATTAATTTCAAATTTAATCTGTTGAATTCTAGGGCCATTAACGAGACAAAAACGCTCATGTAAATCATCCCACAATTTCTTAGCATTATCATAATGTGAAAGCATAGATTTTACCTCGGGATCGATTGTGTTCATGAGCCAAGAAACTAACATACATTGAATTGTTACCCAATCATCCTTCGTACATGGCGGCTCGAAGGTGGTGATACTACCATCAAGGAAACCAAATTTCCGGCGAGAGCAAAGAGCAAGTCGCACGGCATGAGACCAATCGTGAAAATTGTCCAATTTTAGACGTTGTGAGGTGATGTAATCCCCGGGCCGATCTTGCGGTCCAAGGTAGAAAGGGGAGTTTGATTCAATTTTTGTAGGTGCCGGTGGAGGAGATGTGTCATCCCCGACGGCCATTATTGGTGTTTACAGAGAGAAAAAAAAAAAAAAAAAAAAAATCAAGGCTCCGATACCATGTAGAATTGTATAAACTTACGGCTTGACCTTTCATTAATTGGAGCAAAACATATATATACAATGCTAATTCCTAGAGATACCTTAATTAGGTTACTAGAAATTAGGAAACAATATGAAAGATAATACCCAATATTCCACAAAATATATCCCACAAAATATATCCTCAATAATAATCCATACTACAAAATGTACATTCATGGTTGTTTGGTTAGTTAATCAATGTAGAAAAAGATAAGAGTACTCTGTAATTGTAAACTTCAAATCAAACATCAAAAGATTTTTTAACCTTTTCTTTTTTGCATTGAGTTTAACACTACCAAACAATTTGAAAAAGAATCGAACCATATTTACCAACAAAAATTGTGACAAAATACATATAAGGTTGTATAGTTTGTAGCAACAAAAGGAAAGACATACCCTTTGTCACACAATTAACTAGACATTTAATCAAAAAAATACATTATGTTGCAACAAATAGCACACTTTCTTAATAATTCGCGTTATTAATACATATTAATACAAACAATAAATCCATCCTATAAGATGGACTGCCAAAGAATTTACGAAGTTGCAAAAACAATGAAAGAAATGACTAAGAACGTTGGCACCTAGTAATTTCTTGGCAATTACGTTCATAAGGATTAGCAGTTTCAGTTTCATTATTAAAAAGGCAGTTGTAGTAACTCTCGCCTGCCTTGGAGCAGGGAACACGATTACGGTCCAGGACTAAGTAGGATATGAAGGTTCCGACATCCAGTAATGAACGTCGACTGACCTCTGAACTCATCGCGTACTCGTTGCTGTCTTCGAAAGCACTCGATATTGTAAGGAGAAGAGAGAAAACCAGGAGAAGGGCAAGAGAAGAGGTTGCTGTTTTTGTGCCCATGTTTTTCTTTTTTTGTGATCTTTCTTATGTGTTTTTGGTTATGCTGTTTTTTTTTGGGTTTGTATTTCTGTTTTATGTTGTGTCTTTTAAACTTGTAGAATTGGTGGTGACAGCTGACTTGGGATGTTCTTTGACTTGATAAACTAACATAGTAGGTGCCACGAAGGTTGTAACTAATATGATGTTCATTGTATACACTCTTCATTCCAAATTAAAGTCTCATACATCATTAGAGCGCGCTTTTAGGAAGGTGAAATACGATCAGGGTTTTGATTTATCAACGGTGAATATAACAAAACAAGCTAGAATGATTTGGTTAGATTAAAGTGATTAATTAAACGACAGTGAGATTTGTTGAATTAAATACTACCTCCGACTTTGGGGTATTATTTGAGAGATAAAATATTCCAAAGTTACAACTAAAAAATAATCGGAGGTAGTATATAAAGTACAGACAAAGGTGAAATGAAACTTTTATCTAGTGACTAGAGTTTTTGTCTTTTTGATAAAATGACTCTTATTTGTGGACGGAAGAATACTTTAATTTTGGTTGATTTGGAGACGTCAAAAAATTAAATAAAATTTTAGGTTGGTTTGGATTCTTCAATTAACATAGTTGAGGGCACGAAGCTGGGCGGTATTAGCATAAATAATTGTTAATTAAGTACTTACGACTTTGCAATTTGTAGACAACAACCTTCTTTTTTTTTTTTTTTTTTTTTTTTTTTTTTTTTTGTGTGTGTGCGTTGTAGACAACAACTTCTGACTTAAATTACCATTGTTGAGGGCACGTAAGTTGTTGAATGTCTCATTGATTAGATTTTGCTTACATTATGACCAAAATTTGTACAGCTTTTTAATAGCCATTAATTCTTATTAACACTAAGCTAATAAATCTCCTAATTCAAATGGTTTTGACTTAATTTTTTTGTTTGTTTAAAAATCTGATAGGCAAAAGATTCATTATTAAAACCCCTTTTAATCCATATCATAATGTAAGGCCTAGGTTTCACTAGATGTGTAAATAACTTTTTTATAAACTATCAAGTCAAATTGGATGTCCGGTACTCCGATAAACTTAAACTATTTTTGGATTATACACTCATACACATGATACCATCGATTTTACAATAGAAATTGGCCTTTTCTCTTAAATTAGACATAAATAGAGCGTATGATCTTTTAAAATGAATACTTGTATTACTTTAGGTAGCGTTTTATTTTATGTTCATCCAACTTGGTTGACAGAATGTTCCATTATTATTACTCTCCCGGTAGAAGTTGGTACCCTATCTCTTTTGCATAATAATAGAGACAATTTTATCCACCGTTTCCGATTAGACGAATAATGGACAATGATAATTGTTGTTGTTGCCTTAGGTTAATCTATTATATTCTAATTATTAGCCATATTACAATTATGAAATGACGCCTAAAGATTTTCTAGGTTGATACCTTGATTATTTTCTGTTTTATATAATCTTTCCAATAATGATTTCAAAGTTCCTTCAAAAAATTGACAAGATCCTTTTTTTTCTAGAAAAAAAATATACATATTTAGTAATGTCATTAATGCAGACATCCCAAAAAAAAAAAAAAAAAAAAAAAAACAGACAAAATTCAATATCATATACTTCGTATTTGATTCTACTCTCAAGATTTAAACCAAAAAAGCTTGTTAAACTAGAATGATTCAGAGTAAAGTTATGGCTTCCATTTACGCGCCTATTTGGCTGATAAATATTAAATACTACGGAGTAATATTTCCAGTTACTTCAATAAAGCTGGTGTAATGCTTCGCAATGACTTGAGGATAAATTTTAGCAGCGCGAGCCTTTTGCTGGAGCCTTTCTAAGTTCCTCTCCCTTGGTTGCAAAAGTAGCCTGTATGGCCTATCTTAGCACGTAGAATTTCGGTGTTTTCAAGCTTGGTATTGAAGGAGATAATCTGATTGTTGTAAACATTATACAACTATATTTCTGATGTCCCAAGGAGGATTGAACTTATTAGGTACACACTTCAGTGGAATAAACATTGTATTTGTAAGGGCTTAAACTCAATTTTCGTGCTGAATTCATAATCAAATCGATATCCACAGCATCTGATAGCCTACAGGAATGGCTTTTTAGCTATACAACAGAAAACTAAAACTGCACATCATGACATCAAAATGCCAAAACAAGTACACAACAAGTAAAACAAATGAAAATTATACTTTGTATAAGATATCTTCATCTACACTGTAATGCAGGATGTTGAGCGGCAAAAGACTTGAGATCTCAAAATCTTCTGGATTGCACACATGTCTAATTTGTTAACCATGGCTTACACCAGTAATGTCAACCAAGGAACACACCACATATGAAAAAATGAGATGCCATTGCACGGAAAATAAAATTAGAAAAAAAGTATTTCTCAAAGCAAATTTACCCAGCCGAAAATGCAGCCAAGTACCTCATTTTTCAAGTTTGCTTAACAAATTATCCATAGCAGGAAGCTCTTGTATTATTTGCTGCCAGTCAGGCATTCCCTGAAATCATTTAAGTTCAAAAATATTTAACTACATAGCATGCAAAGTAAAGATACCACCTGTATTAGTGTATACTAAAATCCTGAAGGAAGGCTGATGAAGAGATGCTGCTTGTGAAAAAACCAGGTTTACATGGTAACAGCATCACAGAAAGTCCTAAATTCTTGATCATCCCTAATGTCATATTGAAATGCACATATATTGGTTTTAAAAATTTATCTAACTCTTGATGAAAAATTAGATTCATAATTTAACCACCATTTGTTTCCAATTTCTAAGTGAGCAATTAATTAGTAACCATAGATTAACTAACATTAACTAAAAATATAAGTCGTTAAAATAATAACTCTCCATATGCACCCTTCAAAGTTCCACCATGACCACCCTCACACAACCATCTTCTCTTGCACTTTTATCAAAAATAGATCGTCACCAAGCTTGAGCCTTTCCCCTTCCCCCTTTTCGTGTTTTCCAATGCTATTGTTGGCCTCACCAACCCTTGCCATAGCCAAACTCGGCCTTGGATAGGGCTAATAAAGTTTTAGGGGTGGCACAAAAACATTAGTGGTGTCAGTGTTGTTGGATTGGTTTTGGGTGGGCGGGTGCAATTTTTGAGAAGTACATCAACAGTAGAATTACTCAGTGTCCATAAAGAGGCTTCCAACCAACAGAAAGTCAGAAAAGGGTTAAATTAACGCAGTCCCTAGTCTTAAGTCTTAACTCTCAAGTCTTGAATATACAATGAAAAGAGGGATTAACATAATTTTTGGCTGTTTGACAAATTCCAAAAGCCAATATAAATGTTAGCAAAAAAGCCAATCACAAATTAAGATCTCAATCTCTCTCTATCCCCTCCCTGGCTCCCTCTCTCCTTTTTCCTCAACAATCCAAAAAAAATCCAATTATACTTTGTTTCTTTTTGTTGGTATCACCCTCATAATTTGCTCTACAAACTATTCAACCCCCTCCTTCCTCGCCAATTACACTGTTTCTTTTTGTTGCATCCACATAATTTACTCTAAAAAACTATTCAACCCAAAACAGATGTCCAAAAAGCTCCTTAAGCTACTGATTTAAACAGTTCACCAACGCTATATACTCCCACCCCACTTCAAGTTTGCAAGATGGAGGTTCAACAACTGTTTAATGCAGAGAGGGCCAGAGGGGTCCCCTAAAGAATGATTTCAAATATCCAAACACCACCCAGAAAAGCTTAATTAGCCATTATAAAAACATTGCAATGTTAGGTATCTAGTACATGCAGAAGCAGAGTTGATTGATAGTCTAAAGAAAACTAACCTTGCCTGACCTGCGAACCCGACCATCTAGGCGTAGTATTATGTACACATCCTCACCAGGAGTGACTCCTTCTGATTTTTGCTGGTCCTTTATCCATCTGAAATTAGAATAAGATAAGCAGACCCTAAAGATTGATATATGTTCCAGGTTGGTTCTCGTTCTTTCTTCAATAATTTGTTAAATATTCCAGGGATTGGTGACAGAAGGGAAGAAGTAAGGAAAGACAAAGAAACAAAATACACATAGGATGATATTGCATCTTGTGGCATAGTGACAGCAGACAAGAGAGACCAAACACAGATTTATTCTTCAAACAAGGAACTACTATAAATCACCTCCATAGAATAATAATGAAGAAGAAAAGGCACAAATCTACTTACACAGACTACATTCTTCATTACGTTTAAAAACGATATAAAAACCCAATGAGCATAACTTCAAAAACCTGCATTTTAGAGTCATATGATCTCATTTTTCAAAAAAAAAAAAAACAACTATTACAGGAAATTGCTATGGTAGGAAAATCGACAAAAAGCTCCCAACTATAGCCGATCATCTTTTAAAGGTCTCAGCTTTCCTTTAACTAGGGATAGTCCCAATTATGAGAATTTCTTCTCAAATGGTCCCATATGACTTGTGACTTGCTGAAAGTAAATGCATTACTTTTCTTTTCCAGGGATTTTTTTTTTTTTTTTAAAAAAAAAAAAAAAAAAATTCCCCTCATTTCTCATTCCTTTAAAGAACAACTCCATAATTTAACCACCACCCACCATCCCCTCCTACGCAAAACCACCACCAACCAGAATGCTGGAAATAAATTAAATTTTCCCCTCACAAATCACTACATCAATGGCCATGGTGGTTCTTAATTATTCTATCTCCCTCGCTGTACCTAGAGCAACTACCATATATATTCTATCTCTATCTTTCCTATTCCCCATTATCCTGCTCGCTGCTGATTTCTTTCTCCTCTTCAACAGATCCTTTTTTTGGTTTCTTCTTCTTTCTTTTCGGTCTTTTACTTCCATATAAGGAGATGACAGGAATGGTGGTGTCAGCTTGAGTGGAGTATAATAAGGTGGCTGTCATAGCGGGGTTGGTGGTAGAGATGAATTGGACGGAGGCACATTTAGGTGGCTTCTATGGGGGGAGGTTGTATGGCCATCATAATGAGGTAGGCAGGGCTGCTGTGGGCGGTGGTCTGGTTAGAGTGACAAAGGAGAGGGTGGTGAGGTGGTTAGGCTACTGTGAGGGCATGATAGGTGGTGGTGATGGTGATGATTTCAGGGTAGATATTTTGTATGAGGAAGGGGTTGGGTTGCAGAGATAAAAGAGGAAGGAGGATAACAATAGACTTATAAAATAATATCCAAGGGCCAGTAAAATTGTGCAGATAAAAGGTCAGTTTGGGAAAATAACATCATATTTGGGACTGCCTTTAAATAATCAAAAGTTGGGACCTTTTAAAGTGGACAGTCATAATTAGTTTTGTCATTAATTTACTATTCCTATCCTTGATTTCTTCATATGTGAGTTTGGCACACAGATTAAGCTAGAAATAAAAAGTAGAGTAAAAAAGTTGGAATTTTTTTTTAATAATTCTAATGTTTCTTTATCAGTCTCACTGCATTGAAAAAATGTTGAGAAAAGACAGTTACTTTAGACTCTCACATATAATTGTATCCTACTGCTAATGATTACAATGTTATAAATCAAACTGAACATGCTGCTAAGGTATGCTGCGGATACAAGGAAACACCTGTACAAGGACTACATGCACATACTAGAGGTGAACATTCACAAAACATCATTAAGCAACCTTGAATGAAACTAGTAAATTTCAATTAACTTCAAATCTCACTGAATAAATTAACCTACAGCATAAACTGCATTTATTATGAACTTCAACACAATGAGCATGGAAAATTGGGAGCAATGAAGATCCACTATTTGGGAGAAAGGTAGACAGATAGTTGTATATAATTTCCTTTTTTTAAAAAAAAAGAGTAACAGATTATGTTTAGCTAAATTCACAAAGTGGCATATCCTTCCAGGGTTATAGTTCTATGTTTGCAACTGATAACTAGTAGGCAAAATAGAAAGCGGAGTCACCTTTCCCATTCTGCAGGGGACACAGCCTCAGCCTTGAATCGTATCTCAGCTTGCAACTTGGATTTTGTAGTTATAGACTGAGCTCGTTTCTCAAAGTCGTCCTAAAATGGTAGAGCAAAGAAAACAAAATTGCTCTTAAGATTTAGCAGGTTGATAAAATTATGCTTAACACTGATGAAAAATGCAAAATCATTTCCAAATCAAGTAGTTATTAGAAACAGCCTTAATATGCACAACATGATTACATGTTCAAGTTATAGTGGCAATTGCCAGCCTTACATTTTTTCTAGTTGGCTATGTTAGAAAATCCTGGTTTTTGCAGCAGCAAAATTATCCTTCAATTGCAAATTATTTAGAAGTAAAAATATAGAATAAACATACCCCAATAGAGGGAAGAGCAGCAGCAGCCTTCGCAGAACCCCCAAAGCCCTTCTTTTCTACTGGAGCTGCCTCAACCTCACCCCAAATGACAGGAATTAGAAGAACACCTCTTCTAAGAAGCTCAGTCCTAAACCTTTCAGCTTTTTGCATTGCCATGAAAACAGTCTCCCTCTTGCCAGCCAAAATAACCTAGAATCAAACATAATCTCAGCAAGTGAGGGTACTAATTGAGAGAAACTTCAACACCATACACCCATCTACAACTATAAATTGTTACTATATAACGCACGAAGGGGAAAAACACATGCCATTTTATTGTAAACTGGAGTCAAAGCCTAAGCTATTGTTATCATTCTTTGATCTTTCCTTATCCAGAAAAGAGCCAAGACCATTTTGCTAATCATATTATGTACAGTTAGAGAAAAAGGCCAGGAATGCATTGCAACTTACTCAACTGGACAGCTATTCAGTATTTCCTATCTTAGGGATAAGACTTAAGAGTGAGATCTACTTAAGTCCATAATCATCACAAGTATAACTGATGGTTAATTGAAGCATAAGATCAGTTGAGTAAATAGGGAAAGAATAAATAAGGTACAATTGACAGGACATAAAATTTTGTTGTGAAAATAGTTTTGCATGGCTTACAACAATATAAACAACAATATAAAATCACAACATTCTTCCTAGAGTAAATTGCGTATTAATTGTAAATAGAATGGACACCTACCGGTCTAGCAGTGTCCCGTAGCTGCACCAACTCAACAACCCGATTAGTAGAAAGACGTAAAGGTAACCGTGATAGAGTTTCATCTCGAGATATTTGTGCAAGCTGCTCCTCCTCTTTCTTATTATCCCAGAGAAACAGTGCCACCAGAATAACAATGCCTGCACATTGCTGATTTTTATAACATAATTACTTTCAAGAAATGTTTTAGTGACACATTAGAAAACACTCAAGCAAGTTAATTTCCATAAAGAGTGAACGTGACTCAAACAGTCAAACCATGTGCTTGATGTTAACAAGTGCAGAGAAAAGTATATCAGGAATACATATAATATGTCATGTCTACCTCCTATATTTACAGCACCATTTCCAGCAGTCTCTAATAGATCAGGAGCACCTTCACCTCCTTGAATTGCTCGGAGCAACCGGGGTAATGTGAAAAAAGTGGAAATTCCTGCAGCTGCTGCAAAAGCTATATAAAAAAATCTCCGGATTCCGCGAAATGGAGCTTGTACTTCACTAATGAGCTTGAGGTCTCTCCTGAAACTATCGCCTATATCCTCACCACCAAGTCTAGCCTGCATTTTTGATTGGATAACAATGATTTTATTTGAAAGCAAAGAATAAGAAAATGGATTTAATATAGTTGAAGCTCATACAAGCAGTATCTAATAAGAAGTCAGTCATTAAAATTGACAACTAAAACCTCTTCTTGTAATTCCTTGAATTCTGGTAAAGCTCTGAAAGAGGCTAAGTCTGGGTCATTGAGGATGGTCCCAAATTTAAGGTTATAATCTTTAAGAGCAGTGCGCAAACACTCAGCAGCTAGCTTTCCCTCCCCCCTGCCTCAAAAGAAAGGAAACCAAAAAACCAGTATAACTCTGTCAGAATAAATCTTAGAGATTTTCAAAGCACTGGATTATTTATAGATGAGACATGAGAGTCAGCAAGAAGAAGAGCATCATGCATGCACAAAGATTAAAGGGAAATTGTACTATCTGTCAAGAGTTTCAAATATTCATTTGACCTAGTCTATCTGCTTCATGTCCACTAACATTTCGATCTTTTGGTATAAAATAGTTCCTTCACAAGAACATCTTTGAAAAGCTATTGAACTTCCAGGATAAATTTAGAAACCAAAATAAAAGGAAATGCCTAATTTATAAGAAGAAAACAACATAAACAACATGTGTGTTTCTTTGAAGGAGACCAATTACGGCAATTGGAAAGTTAAGTAGCAAGTCTTGCTTTGTGGTATTAAGATTTAGAGATGGAAAGACTAATAAATATGCAACGCTGATATCTGAAACATGACTGACAACAGATTCCAAAGCACACTTATCAAAGTCTGGATCACAAGAAAAATAAATAAATTACCTGTAGGCATGACAGCATGCTTTATTGTAAAGTGCTGCTTGAGCTTCCATAGTATTAGGATTCAAGCTAAGTGCTGTATCAAATTGTATCAGAGCTTCTCTAACCTGCAAAATACAAGTGGACACTCTTTCAAGTCAATTTAATTTGGAGAATTTAACAGGTGCAGCAAGAAACAATCCTAATTTAAGAGTGCAAAAGAGAAAAGGAGAAAAAAATATATTTACATATATACTCTTTCTATTGGGAAATGAAAAGTTCAAGATAGACCTAGTACTTGAATCGTGAGGCCAATTATAGCCCTCAATGTAGCCTAAAGTAAAATTATGGGGGTAGGAAAGAGTGAAGACAGGCACATCAACAGTGGAAGAATTACTCAAACTCTTTACTGTCTTATACCAATTAGGGTAAGGGTTCACACATTAGGGCCTCCCCAAATCCAGTTGGCTTCCCATGTCGGGATTTACAATGGGTGTTTGTCATCGTAATACCATAAAGAGAAACAATAAGCTTCCAATAAATTTCATGGGATGAAATGGTTTATTCTAAATCCATGATTACTTCATTAGATTAATTGAAGATGCTTTCCCCTCAGAAGTCAATTAATCAATCAAAGCCTTAATCACATAAGTGGGGTCGGCTACATGAACCAAAAGTGATTATCCTGTGTAAGATTCAAAAAATTGCATGGTGAAAGAAAACTAGCAGCAGAATCAAATACCCAAAATTAGCTTACCACTAAGCTAGTATGAGGACCAAATCCAATGAATATAGCACTTTTGCATCAAAGATATTCAACCACGAGTCTAATTTAATGAGGTATGTACATCAAAATCAGACAGGCACCATGCCACCATGATTTGGAGAATCAAATTTGAGAAGGTAGGTGAAGGCGCATTTGGAGTTGAGTCAAGCAAGTCAGCAGTTAGGGAAGCCAAAACTGTATTTTTGTCCCCAAGGAACCATCACCAATCACTGATATCAGGTCCATTCCTTCACGTTAAATGACCCAAACAAGGGAAGCAGAAAAGAAATATACTCAGCATGAGGATAGGGATGGTTTGAGATTCTACACAGTAATGATAATACATAGGCACATTTGGAGAGTGTTTGGTTGGGTGGAAAACTTTTCAAGGAATATGAATTTTCCATTCTCCTTTGCTTGGTTTGCAAAAAGGGTGAAATAGTGATCCTATGGATGTGAATTAGCTCTCCCAAGGATTGAGATATTTTCTTCTTACAAAGATGGAGAAAGCCCTATTTTACGCCCTACCCATTACCACCTTTGCAGCAAATTTCTAGGTACCGTCAGTTGTACCTTGTACATGGTTCAACAAAGGCTATTTTTTTCCATTGCACTTACCTAGAGAAGATATTGGCAAAACAAAAAAATGATCTTGGTTGCACCTTGCAATATCCCCCTTCACTCTCCTCCCATCCATCCTCTCCCTTCCCTTTCTCTATAACCTTTCTTATAAGGAACCAAACAAAGGAAAACTAATTTTGAAATCAATTTCCACCTGATGATTGATTTTCATGGAAATCATTTTCCATTGCAAGAACTTTCAGTCAAATCAAATGGAGCTGGAGTGAAGAAGTGTCCTCATCCCAAAGATTACAGTTTTTTTAATCGCCGATTCTTGCACTAATTCTCAGTTCATGTAATATAAAACGAACAAACTATAAGTACACATTATCATAAAAAAAAAAAAGGTAAATTGAAAGCCCTATGATTGTCCAATTTCTATGGCAAAAGAACTCATGGAGGGCTGGAGGCTCTCCGAGTCTGATTTGAAATAGTCAAATACAGTATCAATTTGGAGTACCTAGTTCCAAAATCTTGAATTTCATCTTAGGGAATTTTCGAAATTAAACAAATCAGCTCATTTCCACTTCATCACAAAGCCTATCTACATCTTTTACTACACAATCAACCATATAATATACCAATAAACAGCCAAAATTCCCCCATAAAACAACATTTTCGTTATCAAATTCTAAACCAAGTCAAAATCAAAGAACACCCACATGAAAATTTTCATCAATTCATCAAATAATCAACAAAACTCAACAAACCCACATCACAAAATTCCAAACTTGATAAAACATAATCATTATAATGAAAGACAGAAGAACACACCCTTCCTTTGGAAAAGAGAGAGAGTCCAGAATTGACGCATGACTCCGGCGTCTGCGAAGCCGTATCCGGCGGCGGAGAAGAAGAAGTACAACAAATGAAAGAGAATCGAGCTATTTTGTGGGCAGTTGAAGAGTTGGGAATGGTGTTGAGACACCATTGTGTTGTTCTTGTTTTGATTGAAGAATGAAAATGGGGTTTTGGGTTTGAGTAGCAGAAGATTTGGTATTGGTGGATAAGTGAAGCCACTGCCATGTTTTGGGGGTTGATTTGTGAACAACAAGCAAGGCGCCAAGTGAGGCTTAACCACGGCCCCTGGCCCTGGCTTTCCACCTTTACATAAACACAAGTCGTTTTGGGATGTCGCTAATTGTGATTTGGTGATTGAGCAAGGGCATGTTCACTTTACTTTTAGTTCAGCTCCAATTAGTTTAGTTCAATTTATTTCAGCTTTTAATTTTCTTCTCTCATAAAATATGTATTTCAGCTCCATTCAGTTCAATTTAATTTAACTCCAATCACTTCAGTTTAATTCAGTTCAGCTCAGTTCCAATCAGTTCAACTTAATTTCAATTCAGTTCAGCTCTAATCGGTTCAGTTCAATTCAGTTATGTTCAGCAAATCAAAACAGGTCCTAAATCATTAGCAATTGTGCACCTTTTGTCTTAACTTTTAATATAACACATTATCCAAATTACTAAATTAGGGATGACAATGGATCGGAGATGGATTGGGTCCATCCGTCAACAATCTATCCGTCATCCAACTCATCAATTAACATTTAACTCTTTATCCACATTCAACCGTCCATCATCCACAAATGAATTGGGTGAATGACGGGTGAAATTAAATACACCATTGTTTATTTATAATACTAATGTACATAAACTAAGAATTTGATATATAATTGACAAAATCTTTAAATTTCTTAATATTCACATTATTATACGAAGTCTAACTTATATTACTACTATGTATAAAGTATATGCTTGTGTAGTATAAAAATAGGTAAAAATACATTTGTAAATTTAAAAAAAAAAAAATTATAAGTGGCCATCATCCATATAAAATCCGTGTTTTGTCGGGTTTTCATCCATTTAATCGAATCGAGTGGTTCGGTTATCCATGGGCTCACGTAAAAATTCCGGCCCTAATCAAAATAGACATTATTCGAGCTCATACCAAATTTTGATCAAAGACTCGAAGTTACTCAATTCAAAGTTATCCAATACCCGAAATTACCTAAACTAAATAAACCTGAATCAATCGAACCAAACTAAACCTGATGCTCAAATTGACGCGGACTAAACCTAAAACCAAAATTACCTGATAACAAAAATGGCCGAATTGATTTCAATCCGACTTAATTGACCAAAACAGAATTGAATTGATAAAACATGTACCAAACCAACATAACATTTTTTTTAAAAAAAAAGAAATGGTTATGTACACGTATAATGGATTTGATCTTGTCCTAAAGTCTCGACTCGTTATGAACTACCTAATATTATAGTCCTGACCTGAAATGACTTGATTTGACCCAAAATGATCCGGCCTAACTTGACTTGATTATCTATTGACTAAAAAATACCTAAAACCTTGAATAACCTGTGTAACACCCCGACCCCAAATCAGGGTGGGGTCTATTGTCACGAAATTCACATCCGCATTCGGGACCAGCACTGTCCTCACAGACCAACATAAGCTCTACCGGCGCATTTTGTCCTCACTTATGCGCAACCTGAGAAAACTTTCAATGAAGTTACTATCCTAAGACTACTCTCAACCAAACACAATTAATTGAGAAGTATCTTAGCAAATGATCTCTTTAAATGAAAGATACATCTTGTTCGTATGAGTAGTATATTAATTTCCTTAAAAGCAATCATGAGAATTATTACAACATGCACTTGACTCATTTGTATACTAGACCCGAAATTACCCCAAACGACATAATTACTAGGTCTAGGAAGAAATACAAGTAGAGTTTTATTAATATATTACCTTTTGTTTTAAGACTTTGACTCATTTTAATTTTATATTTTGAGTCGTTTAAGTAATTTCAGCTTATCTTTACTTTATTCTATTTTTGTCAAACCCCAAACTAAAACTCGAAATTTTAATTTATCATCAACCATTACTATATGAATAGTATTGATAAGTTCCATTAGTAGAGTTTCTTTCACAAGTCCTCTCGCCCCGAGTTAATGAGCTAGGCACTTTGAAAGTGGGGAATGGGTAAGAGAATCCCCACCCTAAATGCGTCTAGTGGGGTTTGATCTCACAACCCATGACCGGCCCTTATGGTGTGCAGGGTGAGCTGTTGCTCATGGCCCAAAATCTGATGGGGCCCCAAACTTTTGAATTTGACTATTTTGTTGCAAATATATTAAACTGCATAGAATTTGGCATAGTGGCAATACAACTATACTATATGTTTCTTGGTCTAGTGTTCGAATCATATGATTTTACTACACAATGTTGGGTATGTTTCACTCCTCGATCACATATGTCCAAGCATCAACAATGGTCACCCATCTTTCAAGAACACCATACATATACCTTCAAATATCTGCACAACAAATTGAACCACCAAGAGTCATTTACTTGTCACTCCAAGACACATATTCCATGAGGCCCACAGTTGTAGTTTGGATTGACAAACCCTAAATTTCAAGGCCTACATAAAACATGTCCATTGAGGTAAAATTTTGGTAAACCTTACTATCTTATGGTTTGTTTGGATAAAGAAAAGGGAAGGAAAAGAAGGGGAGGGAGGAGAAGAGGAGGGGAGGGAAGAAGAATGAGTTTTCCTTCCAAATCTCTCCATTGTTGGAGGGATCAATTTCCTACAATGTAATCCTTCTATTTCTCTCCCTCCAATTCCCTCCCTTCCTCATTTGTTATCCAAATGAAAGATACTCCATCTTTCCATTTCTCTTCCCTTCCTTTCCCTCCATTTCCTTCAAACCAAACACACCGTTAGTGTTCTTACGTTAGAGGTTTGTGCATGCAAGATGTCAAATGCTTATTACATGTTAATGAATCACAAATTCTTTTTTGTTGATTTTTTTTTTTTTCAAGTTTCATTTAACCAAACATTTCCACTCAATTGACATCTAATATAATCATCTTCAATAAGACACACCAACACACCATAAGGCCCACATTTGTAGTTTGGATTGACAAATCTTAAATTTTCAAGGCCTAAAACTCAATCATATAAAACATATCCAAATGCATGCAAGATGCATATTTTTCAAGTTTCCATTCATCGAACTATACATTTAATAGGAATCTTCCGTAGCAGAGTTGTCAAATTGTATTCGTGGATTTTGCCTATGCGAAAAATACAATGATACATATGTGAAAGTGATTTGCTCAAGTTTAGTTTTATGAAATGAACAACAATTAGGAACCTATAAGTAGGTAGATTTGGTTAATGTTTATGGATAATATAAATATCTAGGAAATTAGGTGAACTTAAGTTAAGGAATCAGAGTCGAATATAACTGACATTTCTTTAGCTCGTTCACATAAATAGACTAATCAAGCAATAGTACAACTCAATCATCAGGCCCTAAATTAGGGAGACACAAATTAATATGACGTATGTAACTATAGATAAAATGATCACAACGCTTGTCCATCATTTATAAAAAAAATCTACAAATAACCGTGTGGGACATCGGCTAAGTCAATTACTATTTTTTTTTTTTATTACGTCACTTCAATAATCGTAGTGATCCTAAAAAAAAAAAAAAAGTGGGCGGGATGAGCGCATGATTGCTATCATGCAGATCTCATGCTAAATTGTATGTTATTAGCTAGTTGTTAAATTACATACCACCCCTATTTCATGCTAAGTACAACAGTTTAACAGACACATACACTTGTCAATGCACACAACTTTGACAACTGATATCTCTAACCACTCTGTATCTTGATATACATATACAACCTTAAAATATCTTATTTATGTATATATACTTGTATATCTTATATGTATGAATAGACAATATAGTACAAAGTCAAAATAATGCATTCATCATCATCGTATTATTGTAGTGCGCTATTAGTAGCATTGGTTGAATTTGAACATGCTAGAATAATTGTGAAAATTGCGAAATGAAGTTACTTTCTTGAAATACAAAAGTAAGGCACAAAGGGTTAACTGTATGTCACAAATCAAATTCATTATCAGATCAATTCAATAAAGAAAATTAAAGAAGCACAAATCCTTAGCTTTACGTGCGTGCTTCTTGTTTTCGTAAATTTGCACACGTAATATGAAATGACATACCAACACTATGCTATACATATACTTCTTTCATTTTAAATTATGTGCAATTATAAAAATTGGATGTTACACATTATGTGTTAATTGTTTTTTTTCTTTTTAAGTAGTCATTTCTCTTTATCTCTTTTCTCATCACATGTATTTTTATCTTTTTTTTTTATTTAACACAAATTTTGTTAGAAAAATCTGTATTAAGATCTTTATTGCATATAATATAAGGCGGATCGAGCTAGTATAACACATCCAACTTATGAAATTTATTATATTTAAGCTTCAATATTAAATAAAGTTACATGCATTTAACAATGTATGGCTTAAATTCCATCTTTTTTATTTTCTTGTCAGATCTAAAGCATGCCCTATTATGCAGATGACTATGCTCCCACTATTAACCAATTTTTTGTCATTTGCTTTCTTTTTATACTTGTGTAGTTGCGTGAATGCTCTGCAACTAATAGTAATTAATTAATTATATATATTAATTAGATTTTTATAAAGAAAATAACATAATTTTTTTCTTATGTACATAACCATACGCGTTAATAAGCTAAGGGAAGATTATAACTATGGGTCTGTTCACATTTACTGAACTGAGCTGAACTGAGCTGATTGGAGCTGAACTGAACTGAATTGAGCTTAAATGAATATTTTATGAGAGAGGAAAATTAAGAGTTGAACTGAACTGAATTGATTAGAGCTGAACTGAACTGAAATTAAATTAAGTAAATGTAAACATGCCCTAGGTTATGTCACGAGAACTAAACTAAGTAAATGTTTTGTAGTTAGCCTAGTTGGTTTAGTTGAAATAAGTACGTGTAGTGTTTTTATGTGGTTGCAAGTTTGAATCTTAATAGCTACATTCTAATTTTTTATTTTTTTTTTAAGTTCTTTGGAAAAAATTAATTCCAATTTTTTTTTTTTGAAGTTAAAGTATTATTCACATGCTTTATTAATCAATCTTGGACCCCTAATATAAATTTTCTGGTTACGCCACTTAAGTGTTCGATATGGATATGTATTATTATTTAAGATAATCATACAGAGTAGGTTAAAATTAAGATCGAGTAACCTTAGTCAAAAGTAGTGTGGGTGATGTTATGGTACGGAGAATACGTGCAAAATATAGTTGGATGCGACGACACGGGTGACGGGACTGGTGGCACACTTATGTATTCCACATATCCGTCTAGACCATGAAAGTAGATGGTACACCTTCTTTTAGAAACACTTTGTGTAAGCTTTGCAGTTAAGAGGAAAGCAGTTTTTGATGCTTTCTAACTCATGTTCAACCAATATAGGCATATAGGCTCAAAGTAGACAATAAGACACAAGCTTAATGTTTGTAATGTATACACAATTATATCATACTAAAGAGGTCGAACTTTACAAAAGATAGCCGATGCGGCGAGCACCAACCTTATTGAATGGTACAAATTGCTAAAGAATATGTAAGTACGTAAGATTTTGACACTGCCTAAAGATTTTTGATGTGGGGACTTGGATAAGGATGTTTATTCTAGTTTTGTAGGGTTTATATATGGTTGTTGAGGGGTGATAGCTCAATACGATGTGTAACGGTTAAGTAATAAATTTGCGTGATTAAACTGTTACTAATAATTGACTAATGAAAACTATACTATTTAGTTTTTTTTTAAAGAGAATTTTAGTCACGAGGTTGATGGATTTTCCATTTATTTGTCCATAAATTAACGTGCATCTATATTGGAGGAGAGTCTGACCACATACAAGTTAAACTCAAATTAAAATCAGCTGACAATGATTATAATAACCCACTATAATATAATTACAAGTGTATGTTAATCACATTTTTTATGTGATTATTGCATAGTGGTTAATTATGTGGGTTATGCTTAACTTAGTAACAAATTTCACATTTTTTTGTGTATGCAATTTAATTTCATGTTCTTGTAATTAATTAAGATACAATTAAAATTCAAGTGTTGAAGCTCTTTGGTTCACAGTGCGTTTGATTTAACTGATTAGAACCAATTTGAACTTTTAGTTCGTTGTTAGTTAAACTTGGTAGCTGACTTTATTAACCTTTTTAAAATTCATATGAAGTAATAAGGAGTATTATAAAGTAATTAAATTCATATCTAAGTAGTTAATTAAACTTAATTAATCATATGAAACTTTCTTGCTAATTCTTGAATTTGATTATCTTATCTAAACTTACATTTTGTGAAATCCTTCTATCTAGATTGCAAATAGGTGAATAGAATAGGGTCTAAGCCGTCCAAGTTTGCTTTATAGCACCACAATGTTTTGTTATGCTTTCAGTTTTGCTATTATTGGTTAAGGGAAGTCTAAAATTAAAAGACATGGTATTCCATTAAGCACATGTACACAATAGCCATTGAGGGGAAAGATGCTCTTCTAGAGAACAGATTTGATGTTATGTTCCTTGATCTAAAGTTGTGGTTTTAATTATTATGTGTTCTACAATTTGTTAAATCCCTTCACTAGGGAAATATATAAAAATCCGCGATATTCAGTGAATCAGATGCCCACATTCCCATCTTTTCATTGTACCAAAAAAGTACTCCGTATAATCCGAAGCAAAGTAACAAAGATTTACGGTAAGTCGATAATAACCAATAGACAGGTCGCTGACTCTCAGACAAGGTAAGGGGTCGAATCTTATCAAACTTATTCGATCTATTGGATGTTGCCATTTCTTTACCCCAATTAATAACAACCCTTATTCGAACTTATTTGCATGAAGGGTCTTACACTCTTAATTATTCTAATAGTTAGTAAAAGGTCATTTCAAATTATTGTTGAATGTTCAATTACAATATGTTCATATTAAGTAAAGCAAATATATTGTCATTGCCTTAATAAAATAGAATTTGTTATATATACCCGGGTGTACCGTACACCTAACTAACCCAAAATTAGTTTTTGCTCTTCATTTGATGATTAAATAAAAAATAACCATCAAAATGAGAACGAAATATTTATGAATATACGGTACACCCGAAACAATCTTCTTAATCAACGGGTAAGATATACTCCCTCTGTTTTTAAATACTTGCTCCACTTTCTATTTGCGGCCGTTTTTAAATACTTGTTTCATTTCCTTATTTGAAAAGTTTTTACAAAATTTAATCAATTTCTCTCACCTAGTGGTCCCAACATATATTATCTCTCCTCCAATTCTTTCCACTACTTTTGCTTTCTACAATTTTTTATTCTTCCACCAACCCCATTACCTCCATATTTTATTACTTTCTCTAATTTCTCCTAAAACTCCGCGCATGAAGAAATAGAGCAAATATTTAAAAAATGAGGGAGTAAGATACCAACCTTAGTAAATGCATTTCTAATAATGTTTTGAGTGTAATATTTTCTTATTACCTTTTCCTAACATCAGTACGTTAAAATTATATTATAAGTATTGTGAACACATTAAATAGAAACAAGTACAATCTTATCTTACTAGGCTATAAGTAGTTAAATAGAATGTGATACTTATCTACATCTTAAGTTGCATTCATTGAATGACATAATAAATCAAAATCATACTCCATTTTTGTTTAGTGATATTAGTAATAAGCACAAATCTAAATTTGCTTAGTGCATTGAATTTGAATCAATGACTTTGAGGGATTATATAAACTCTGGTTCCTTGTTCAAATCTTCCTTCCTTTGCTCAATATCATAATAATTATGTGTATAGTAGGTTGTTGGACGCTGCAAGCGGAGTTAAGCCTTGTTGTCATCACATAATATTTACTGAACTTAAATTATTTATACTGTAATAAGTTATTTTTGTTGGACTAAAATTTAGTATTTTACTATTAGATTTGTTCTTAAATTTATAGTTTTTTTTACTGATTAAAATTAAACTTATTTTACTAAAGTTAGCTTAAAAAAACATTTTTTTTTGTGAACTTAAATTATATTTATTGAATTTAATGCATTTTTATTTTACTCGTACTTAATATTACTTGTATTGTGTTAAGGCAAATTTAGAGAACATGGCCTTACTAGGACTTGTTTTACCTTAAGTACCAATGTGGCAATGTCAAGATATTTGGTACTCCAACAAGCATATGTACACTACTTGAGACTTAAGACTAGAAAAGCTCATCAAATGGCCGAGTTTTACATTTGGACACCTACCCATGATCATGTAGCTAGTATGCACCAATGTAACAGTAAGTGTTGATATGTGTATGTAAGACCATAAAACAAAACACAGGGTTAAATTTACAACTTGTCAACATCACATTTGCATAAGCAACTATTGCTTGTAATTTAGCTACAATCGGGTGGATGAGTTAGCGAGTTTAGATAAGTTTTTCCTATTTAAGCTAATGAGTAAAAGCTTGAGAAATCAGAAGTTATGTGTTTATAGCATTGCAACAAATATAAATCACAAAGGTCTAATAATTTTGTATTAAGAACAAAAGTTATGTAAGAAAAGTTTTTATCCATATGAACGAACATTAACAAATTACATAAATTTCGTGTCATATATTCGTTTCTTATAAATGCTTCATCTATTATATCATGGATTTAAGACAGGAAAGTTATTGATCTCAAATCAAAAAAAGGAGCTTTTTCGAGGGACCACATTGTGGATTAATTCAAGAGAAATTGCCTCATTTTAGGATGCAATGACGTGGGAGTAGCCATTGCTTTGTCTTCCCTCTTTATATATAGATGCATTACATTGTAAGGCTCTTGCAATCTTGCATGAAGCATACTTGTTAGTGGCTTTCGAGTTTTAAACAGCTCGTGTGTGTGTGTGTGTGTGTGTGTGTGTGTGTGTTTGTCATGGACGGGAAGAAGTTGGAATACAAAGGTGAGGAGGCGTTGAAGGAGTTGGAAAGGCTTACAATGAATGCTGATGAGGTACAAGAGGAACTTTTGGAAGAAATAGTTACTAGGAATGGTGATACTGAGTATCTGAGTAAGTATCTCAGAGGCTCGAAAGATGTCTCTGCCTTCAAGAATCGCGTTCCTGTCATTAGTTATAGTGGCATTCAGCCTTATATTAAGAGGATTGCCAATGGAGAGGACTCTTCTCTTATCTCAGGCCATACTATTGTGGAGATGTTATGCAGGTTTTTAATATCATTTCTTAAGCAGTTATACAATAATTTTCTGTTACTGATCTGTATGTCCGCGTATTAGAACTGATGTTTTATCTGTTTTCAGCTCAGGGACATCGAATGGAGAGCCCAAGCTGATGCCGTCAATTGCTGAGGATCTTGATAGGAGAACTTTCTTGTACAACCTTGTCATGCCGGTTGTCAACCAGTAAGACATAAGTTTTATACACCAGTGTTGATCTGCTGATTATATTCAGACAGTAAAACTCTTCACTGATTTGATTATAACTGTTAATACTGTTTGTACTGATCACAAATTTTTAAATTGACTCGTATTTTTTCACTAGCTCGTACTAATGATGATCAGTCTTAGATTCTTCTTAAATTGGGTGGAGGCCAGTAAGGCTTCACAAAGCGTAAAATTCAACCATAAGTACATTAAGGTAAAAAAGCAGGTTGATTGAGACACTGAAGCATTATGCACCACCAAATAGTCATATCTATCAATGTACTGAAGAATATTTGTTCTTTTACCTATACAATTTGCGGCTAAGTTGATGATTATATGTCATGATTAAAGTCTATTGTTCACATATTTGATGCCGTCATATCATGTTGAATTGACAATAAGTGGTTAATGTTTTGTTAAGGATAAGGATTAGAAAGAAAAAAGAGTTACAATAAAGTTGTATTCATCAATATAAGTATAGTATAAAAAAAATTAGACAAGTTTTGTACTGATGTATGTAAATGCTGTAGGTACATTCCCGGTTTGGATGAAGGAAAGGCGATGTTCCTCAACTTTGTGAAGGCTGAAATGTCTACACCTTGTGGCCTGCCAGCAAGAGCAGTCCTTACTAGCTATTATAAGAGCAAGCACTACAGAGGACGACCGAGAAACGTTCCTTTTCTTGACTACACTAGCCCTGATCAGACTGTCCTGTGTGAAGACAGTAACCAAAGCATGTACTGTCAGTTACTTGCTGGTCTAGTATTCCGTCACCAAGTTCTTCGTCTAGGAGCTGTTTTTGCCTCAGCATTTTTGCGTGCAATAAGCTATTTGGAGAAAAACTGGGTTAAAATGTGCAATGATATAAGAAAAGGAAAGTTAGATGCCTCAATCACAGACCCTGAATGTCAGTTAGCTATGTCAAGCATAATTACACCGCCTAATCCTGGTTTAGCCGATGAGATTGAAGAGATATGTAGTGGTTCATCATGGAAAGGGATCCTCTGTAGGCTCTGGCCTAAGGCTAAGTACATTGAGGCGGTGGTCACAGGCTCGATGGCTCAATATATTCCATCACTCGAGTACTATAGTGATAAGAGACTGCCATTATTTAGCCCAATGTATGCTTCAACAGAGTCTTTTTTCGGTATTAACTTGAGACCCTTGGATGATCCATCCGAGGTCTCCTTTACCCTTTTGCCTAACATGTGCTACTACGAGTTTATTCCACTTGGAGAAAATTCATGGTCACTTGATGAAGAAATGGAGGTACCTTCGAACGAGCTTGTGAGTCTGTTGCAAGTCAAGCTTGGATGTTATTATGAACTTGTTGTCACCACTTTTGCTGGTAAGGTCATTCAATTAATAAGCATAGTTTGCTATCATAATTGTACACACTAATCTTTGCCCTGTCTTTTTCTACTTGAAAACTAAACTTTGGTTAATTTAGTTTTAAGTCAGTTTTCATGAACAGAAATGAATCTAATACATCAAACTCTGATCAAATTGTGTCTTTTGGTGCATATATAATGCAGGACTCTGTAGATATCGAATTGGTGATGTGCTACAAGTGACTGGCTTCTACAACAAAGCTCCACAGTTCAAATTTATATGTCGTAGAAATGTTGCTTTGAGCCTAGACAATGATAAAACAAGTGAAGAGGACTTGCACAAGAGTATTACAGTAGCAAAAAAGCTCTTAGAGCCTCACAACGCGATCCTGCTAGAGTACACGAGCTTTGCAGATACCTCTTCTGTGCCAGGGCACTATGTCCTGTACTGGGAAATTGGACATAACAAGTCTAAAATTGACAATTCTTCACTTGATGAGGTCCTTCAAGAATGCTGCATCGCGGTAGAGGAGGAGCTAGATTACACATACAGAAGGTGCAGGTCTCATGACAAGGCCATAGGACCATTGGAAATAAGGCTTGTTAAGCCTGGCACTTTCGAGGCGCTGATGGATTTCTACATAAGTCAAGGAGGGTCTATCAATCAGTACAAAACACCAAGGTGTATCAACTCTAAAGCCGCCTTGAAGCTTCTCGAATCGAACGTCAAAGGACAGTTCTTAAGCCCCAGGGATCCAATATGGATTCCTTAAATCTTAGTGGACTATGTTATAACTTATATAGTGTAATAAGATCTTTCTGGTTGATTGTAACCTCTTTGTAGCAAATAGTTGCTGCACTTTTCTAGTTTTTGTGGGACAATCTTTGTGTACTTGGTAAAATAACAACTGATTAGTATTACTATAATCTACAGTAAAGAATTATACCTATCATACCTTTTGTTAAGCCCTTTATTCTATAATTAGAGAGCAAAAGGATGATAAATATGAAATATCTAGTGTTTAGATTAGTCTTTTTCTTCTCTCAACCATGCTCATTAGGATCACTGTGCTGCACCTTATAAAGATTGGCTTTACAATGAGGAATGGTATAACTATTAGTGAACCAAGATAGTTTAAATATACTTTATATAAACAATGTTATTCAAACAATTTCCTTTTGCATTTTTTTTTTTCTAAAAAAAAAACTTATTTTCCAAATCCCAAAGTTTAAATGAAGTATTTCATTAATTAATAATAAAGCCATCTAATTTCCCCCACACCATTTTTTTTTTACCTTTCTCTTCAGTTTTGTCTTGGTGCTAAAGTAACACTACTTAGGGGCTAGGACGTATTCAATTATCTTAAAAGAATAAGTTTCAACTTAAAGAAGTTCAAATAAGTTTAGTCATGTCTAATAGCTAAGTTCAATAAGGTTAATAAGTCAACAAGGTGATTTAGACTTGTTTTACTTTCTTGGTACCTCGGCATGGTTAACTCCAAAGGGTAAGATTTGTCGTGTTCCTCCATTAAAGCTGCTAATTTCTCCATTGAAGCTACTTCAAATTCTTCTTTATGTTAATTATGTGATTTACCATCTTTTAACACCATCCATTACAATAATTAAAACTTTCAAAAAGTGTAAAAGCTAATATCGATATGCCATAAAGTCGATCTAGGTGATTAAATTGTATTTTCTCTTACTAGTTAGGCTATTACTACTAATTGCTTGTTTGGTAGAATATATTTCTAATACTAAGGGTCTGTTCTGATTGACTGAATTGAACTAAACTAAACTATTTTATAAGAGAAGAAACTTAAAAACTGAATTGAATTGAAAATAATCTAATAATTTAAAGAGATAGGCCATGAGATTTTTAACTATTTATTTATTTTGTCAGCCAAACAACATTAAGTCTTCTATTAGCTTTCCCCAAACATCCACCATTTTTAAGAGCTCTTCCGAGTTCCGCCGCAGTATCCCCCTTCTAAAACCCCAAATTAACCGCCATCTCAAACCCCCTTCCAACCTTCAACAAAGTTTCTCAACTTTTTATTTTTTCAATATGATTTTTTTTGGAACCCCATTTTCATTTTGATCATACTATACATTATACTGGATGGTAACATCATATTCCATGTGGGTTTCATCTATAAGGTCAGTTTCTTGTAGAAATTTGATTAAAAATTCTTTCTTTATTCGTCACAATTCTGCTTATGCTGCTGCTCAATTAAATTCTTGGTTTACTGATTCAAGTTCTGATGAACATGTTACTAGTAGCAGTAGTAGTGATTTAGAGGATCAATTACACGAATTAGATACAAATAGAGTAATTGAAAATTTGAAGAATTTGAGAACTAACCCAAATCAGGCTTATTCATACTTTTCTAATGTAAAGGAACGTGGGTTTCGGCACAATGTCGAAACTTATGGTTCAATTGTTAGTATTATGTGCAATAGGGGTTCTGTTAGAATGTTGGATGCATTTTTGTTGGAGGTTATTAAGTCGAATTCCAACGAATTGGGTTTCGATGTTTCTGAGTTGTTAGAGTTACTTGAGGTTGAGATGACTACTTCAGTGCTTAAAGTGATTGATGCCTTGGTGAAGGGCTATGTTAGTTTGGGTATGTTTGAAATGTGTATAGATGTTTTGTTTCAAACAAGAAGAAAGGGTTTAAAGCCTAGTTTGTTTACTTGTAATTACCTTATTAAGCGCATCATTGAGAAGGGTGAGCTAGATACGGCTTTGGCTATATACCGGCATCTTAAGATGATGGGTTTGAATCCGAATGTATATACCTATAATCTTATGATTGAGGTGCTGTGTAAAAAGGGTGAATTTGAGAAAGCAGTTGAAATGTTTGAGGAGATGGAAAAAGCCGGTGTCAACCCAAATGAATATTCTTATGGCAGTTATATTGAAGGGCTTTGTTCAGTTCAAAGATCTGATGTGGCGTATAAATTGTTAAAATCCGTCGATCCTGTTGATAGTTTTAGCTACACCATGGTGGTTAATGGTTTCTGCAATGAAAATAAACTGAGTGAAGCTGAGGCTGTTTTGCTTGATATTGAGAAGCAAGGGCTAATGCTTGATGCTTATTGTTTTGGTGCTTTGATTCATGCATATTGTAAGAAGGGGAATATTGAAAAAGCATTGTGTCTTGAAAGTTACATGATGTCAAAAGGTTTGAAAGTGAATTGTGTTATTGTGAGTTCCATTCTTCAATGCATGTGTACTAAGGGACTTCTTACAAATGTTCTCAGTCGATTTGAAACATATAAGCACAAGGGGATTTATCTCGACAAAGTTTGTTATAACATTGTAGTGGATGCTATGTTTCAGTTGGGAAAAGAGGAAGAAGCCTTGGAGCTGCTTGAAGAGATGAAGCGCAAAAACATGGTCCCAGATCAGATTCATTACTCCACTGTGATCAATGGCTACTGTCTAGAGGGAAAACTTGTTGATGCCTGGGCCTTTTTTGAGAAAATGAAACATGAGGGTATTCAACCTGATATCATTACATACAATATACTTGCAGGTGGTTTTGCTAGAAAGGGCCTTGTAAAAGAGGCTTTGTTAGTTCTTGACTACATAAAAGACCAAGGTTTGACGTCCCTTGATACCCAAAATAAAATCATTGAAGGCCTTTGTGTAGGAGGGGAGGTAGAAGAAGCTGAAAAGCTTTTTAATAGTTTAGAGAAGTCCACAGATAATTATAATGTAATGATTGATAATTACTCTGCTATGATTAATGGATACTGTGAAGCAAGAGATACACGAAAGGCTTTTGGTCTTTTTGTCAAGCTTTGCAAGCAAGGTATATCTTTGAAGAAAAAGACATGCTTAAAGCTGCTAAATAGCCTATGCAGTGAAGGTCAATTTGAAAGTGCATTTGTGTTGTGCAATAACATTTTGGGGGTAGAAGAGAATACTCGCATTATAATGTATTCAAAGCTTATGTTGACATTGTGCAATTCTGGAGATTTAAAAAAGGCTCATTTGGTGTTTGACAAGTATATCGAAAAAGGTTTGATTCCTGATGCCATTATGTACACGATACTAATAAATGGGTATTGCAAATCGAATCTTACGTTAAAGGCCTTTGACCTTTTAGATGATATGAAACGTAGGGGTATTATTCCTGATATGATCACTTACACAGTTTTGATTGATGGTTGCTTGAAGTGTAGTTTGGAGTCTCGTTCTCGCCCTAACAAGTTTTTGATCGAGAAAGCAACAATATTGGAATCAGAGATGTTGAAAATGCAGCTGAAGCCTGATGCTGTCTGTTATACAGTGTTAATTGACAAGCGCTGTAAGTTGAATGATATCCAGGATGCCATGAAGCTGTTCCATGAGATGATAGATAGTGGTATACAACCTGATAATATGACATTTGCACCTCTACTTTCTGGCTGTCATAGAGTACAAGATTTGGATATAGCCTTGACCCTTTTTGATGCGATGGAAGAACTTGATTTAAAGACTGATGAGAAAACCAAGTCATTGATGTCAACATTGACACATGGTATAGTGAATGTTAAAAAAGTACCCCTCACGGCTTGAATGCTCCTAGTATAGCTTTGAAGGCCAGTCAAAGTCATAAAAGCTCAAGTGTAATGATAGTGGCATTGAGCAATGTGAAGGACAAATTTTGAAAAGTTATATGCATATTGTTGATTGATTAAAAAAAAAAAAAAGTGACACAAGTTTAGAAAATTCTTTACTGTATTAATGCTTACTTTATTAATACTTAGATTTGTATGTCATGCTTATCATTTTTTAAACTGCAGCTTCTGTAAGTTAGAATGGAGATAAACTTGCATCTTCTGGGCTAGGTATTTGGACTGTTAGAGGAGTAATAAATGATATTAATATGAAGATTGGGCTGCACTAGGATCACATTAATTCCTATCCTCTTTGCAGCCGTTTTGATTTAAACATTCGATTTCTTGGCCGTTTGAGTCTAGTTACATTAGATTAGGGTTGACAGTCAACTATGTAAATGATGTATCCATGAATTGAATTTTTTGAACTTATTTTGGTAGAAGAATGATACTGGTCTTTTTAAATGCCAAGACATATACTTGAAGCTAGTGTTGGTCTTACAGTCTATAATTGTTCTATTGTTGCTTATTTGTTTTGTTGTCTTTTTTTGACTTGATATAATGCCTTGTTTTGTGATGAAATGCCTTACCAAAAAAAAAAAAAAGAGAGAGAGAGAGAGAGAGAGAGAGGTGTTGGTCTTACAAGGATTTTTCCTGTACTGTTATTTAAAGTATTTTTTTTTTTTTTTTTATGTTAATTTAGGGTCGGGTGGGGTTAGTACTATACATTATTATGTATAATCCAAATTCTTCTTGTTTGCTGCTGATGTTCAGGACTCATTATCAGATTTGTGAATAGTGAGTAAGAACTTCATAGACGTGAAGGTGCTTAGTTAATTGGATTTTTTCCTCAGAAATTTGAGCATGAATAATCCTTTGGAGCCTTGAAGAGACGAAGGCAGCTAATCCGTGCAACCTTGGATCAGACAATGCGTGTCTGCGCAAGGTAAAAAGGCAGCATGTCTATGCATGCCTTGGTTTTTTTTTTTTTTTTTTTTTTTTTTTTTTTTTTTTGTAAAGATTTTGCTATGCGTGTTTTCTTCTCGATCATCTATGTTTCATGGAATGTTTAGGCCATTGGCTATCATTATGTACGGTGAGATTACACATTGCAAATCATATTCAAACTCAGAGGGTGTCTAGAGAGAGATGCAGAGTTTGAGGAAAGTTTCATCAAGTTGAATGTTTGTTAGTCATCCTCCACTGTTATTTGTAGTGCAATATGGGTTTTGTCCTTAGTGCGTGAGGTTCCCACATATAGGCTTCGTCTGTTCGTTCTTTTCCTTTCCATAATTCGAATTCGTGCATGTTCAATTTTATGCTTCTTATTGTTTTTTGTTAATTGCCACATTAGTTTGCACTATTTATTCACAACAGTTGGTTGGATGTCTTGACTCTGATCTCCAATCCCTCAACTACTCCAATAGTATCCTTTTGTCTTGTGTCTCTTTCAGTTTGTAGCTGGATATCAAGAGTTGGGGATTTTAGATGTCTGGGCTGGTATATGTGTCAGATGATATGTTAATTGTTGTGTGATTATGTCATAGGTTACTGGCAGTGTCTATCATGATTCATGATGTCCTGCTAGGCTGATATTGCTTGAGGCCGTAATGGATAAACAAGCCAAGCCTATTTATGTTGTGTGGGTTGACTAGTTTACATTGGTAATGAGATTAGTTGCTAGAAATTGGATTACAGATAAGAAATCTATGAACAACTATATGCTCAGATGCTCTGGAGGTCCAAAGTTAAGCGAGCATTGTGATTGATATAACTAGTTGGCTTGAACAAACAATTATGGACATATTGTGTATGGCCACCCGTGTACTGATAGCAGACCAGAATTTTAGTAAACAAAGGATAGCGATAAACATAGCCCTAATAACCAACCATTGAACCTGTGATTGCTGTAAACTTTATGTTTATCCATCGCTATTAAGAAACAGGGCTATGATTTGATAAAACTTCTTGTGAATGCCCTCCTTTGCTGCTAAGCAGGAAGGTAACAGAACTGCATGGACACAGTTAATTAAGTGAAATTATTTTGGTTGTCATGTTTGTTTCTGCATCTTAATCAGTTCAGAAAGTGCAACTTGATTGCTGTTCATTCCATTCATTCACTCACAGTTTTGAAAATTTGAAGTGTCAAATGTTTGTTAATGTTATCTTTGTTAAGTCTGGCAGTGTATGCTTATTTTTCTACCATTGGCACATTTATGATTCCTATGAATCCAAATTTTGACCACCTAATTTTTGTACACTTTTCTTTGCATGCATGACTGACTGAATCTTTGTTGTGAAGAGTCATTTATCTGACTTGCAACATATCCTCATGGGTCCCTGAATTTCTTGCTGTCTGTAATTGAATGTTTTATTCAGATCCAATTATTGTTTGTACTTGAGCTTTTTATTTTTTTTATTTTTCTTTCGTTAGGCATATGAATGTTGTACCAATGTTCTAATTCTGAAAGTTTATTATTTCTTTTCTTTTTCTAGGGATTAGGGGTGCACTGCCTTACTCATGCATGTAACAGCCTTAATCCCAAGAGTAAAAGTGAAAACCACCTAAAGTTTGGGATCAGTTTCAGGTATAAAACTTTTTTTCTTACAAATTAGTAAAAGGTGACAATTATGTACCAATGTCGTACCAGCAGAACCATCATATACACCAATTTACTGAATCAGAGCTAAAACATGTGCTTCTAAGCTCCTCTTATGCTTCTGTGGATATTTATTTTGTTATGCAAACATATTGGTGTCAAATTTTTGTAATGCCAAGAATATCATCAAACAGGTGGAACACATGCTTTTAAATATTTTTGTGGGCTATTAGTGTGACTTCTTAGTAATCTCCAGTTTCTTGGGAGAGATTTGTTGTTATCGTTTAGTGGCTGGAAAGCAAATTCTGTATGTTTGCGACAAATTATTGGTCACAAAGCTACTCTGGGCTTTGTCTGACAAAATTGATATATTGTGGCTTAAGTGGGTGCATTGTAATTACATTAAAGGAAAATCAATCTGAGATGGGCTTATCAAAAATTCAAAAGTGACGTGACTAAGATTACTTGGATTCTTTGGAATATTTTGGCTTATAGAGGCATAATTGATTGGTGTGTTGTTCAGTTGACCTCTTGAATGGGTTCCGTTTTCAATGCAGTATGCGTATATTTGTGTTTTGTATTCTTAACCTGAATTTCCTTGGAGGAGGAATACATGAAGCTTGCTAGTCGTAAATGCAAGTTTATTACATTGCTTGTGCTATGTTTATGATGCTGACCATGGATTAATGAGACAATTGTTTTTAGATGCTCTTCTGGAAAATGCCATTTGGCAGATTGTGCTTAAAATTCTACATTATGTTAAAATCTCTCAAACTTTTGATATAGAAGTGAAGTTACTCTCTCAGGATTTGGGAAGAAAGATTATAGGGATACGTACTGTTTGAAGTCATAAAACAGAGAATGTTAATGTTGACTGTGATCTGTCTGCAGGGCAGTTTAGTAAAACTAAAACATCTTCTATGTTTCTAGTAGATGCAGTGAATGGACGAGAGACCTGCTTTTGTGGTTGGCGCTTTTCTGCACCGATATGATCTGTTTGCTGATGGCCAGGACCAGGCCTGTGCTGGTTCTTCTCTGGTTGGGCTTCCCTTTTTCATAGCACATGAAGTATTCCTGCCCTTGAATTCTCCTTGTATATGGGTTGAGTTGGAATGCTGATGCTTGTGGGATCTTGGCCTGCTTCGGTGCTTCCTGCATACTTCAGCTGTTTTATCATCTTGGTTACTCTATTAAGTTGATTTGTTCCTGACTCCTTGTATCTGGTTGCTACTTTATGCTGTAATGTTCATCTGTTGTGGGATTAAATTTCATTTCACTTGCCAAAAAAGATAAATTATATTTCTCAGAGTTCAACATCCTGTAAACAAACAGCCATATACAGAGATACCTCTTTCTGTATCTATGATGCAAACATTAGAACTGTAATACATACTAACATTGCTACAGAACACAGCTTTTCTGGTATTCTGTACAGCCTCTTAACAACTTTTTCCACAAAACAATTTGCCAGGCTTCATGATCTTCAGTTTCTATCAATCCGCGCTGAACCCTTTTCTTAAAATCTCTGGGATCAATGATATCTCAAGAAAGGGTATTATGGATTTCCCTTTTAGGAAGGACTGATGAATAAAAACTTTTTCAGAACGTTTTAGTGCTTTATGCTGTTTGATATCAAGCTGCAAGATCATCCTTTATATGTGAAGTAGTCAAAAGTTTATGATCTTTGGATGCCTTGTTCTTTTTTTTTTTTTTTTTTTTTTTTTTTTTTTTTTTTTTTTTGTGTGTGTGTGTGTGTGTGTGTATCTCAGCTTCAGGAATAGTTTGAATATCACTGTTTTCTGGAATTTCCCGTCCATAATCCTCAATTACAACTGTCAGGATGTAAGGTATGTGACACACTGACTTGTGTTCTTTATGTTGGTGTGCAAATATTGCATTTCTTTCCATAGGGTTATTGATGGCCTGTTTACTAGTTGCTACTAGCTCATTAATTGATTTTGTTCTATTCCACTTGAAATATATGAGTACCATAATAATTGTCATGATAGCACACTATTCTCTGAGGATTTGTATTTTTGGAGTTACAACTCATTTCAATCTATCTTGATGATAATAAGCTCTAATAAAATAACACAAAAATGCATGAGTACTAAAAGAATGAGGATGCACTGTCATGGACATTCACATAGTTTATGTGTAAAATATTATGCACTCATTATATATTTATATGTTAATACCATCAATAACGTAGATTACATATTTGAGAGGAGTGGATAAGCATTATCATGGAGTCATGGACACTTATACGACGTTGGTGCAAGTTACATGTACGTGCATGCAATGGATGGGAACACAGCAAGGATTCCAAGGAATGATATTAGGTACATATGCTGCTTTTTCTGAAGATTAACCACTTACTCCCATAGTGTATCTTCTTTTATTTGTTGTTTAATTGCAACTTTTAATGATAAACTAATTGCTTGCTAAACAGCCCATACATTGTTAGTAATATTCTTTCATTTTCGTACTTCATGGATTCCACTGTCATATAACTTTCATTCTCTTGGCTGCTTTCGATCGTTGTCTTATTTTGTAAAGTCTGAATTTAGCTGCTTGATTAAGGAATTGAGGCTGCCCAATTATTTGGGGAACTTATCTTACTGGGCTATGAGATAATAAAAAAAAGTGTTGCACATATGTAAAGTTGATGTCCACTTATTTTTGATAATGACAGTGCTGTAATACTGTATGAGATTTGCATTTTAGGTAATACTGTAGAACACTTGAAATGGCAAAAAGTTATTCAAGATTGTTCCAGTGGACATCAGTTGATGATTGACTCCTATTGCCACTCTTATCTTTTATTCTGGGATTTTCTTAAAATTGAATTACTCCGTCCCCTAGAGTTTGCCTTATTGCCATATTTTACTATAAGATATGGCTGAGTGGAATTAAAGATAGAGAAAAGTGGTGGGACTTAAAATAATGTTTGTGACTAGTAAAGTTGTGACCTTTCATGTACATGACAATTTTTTTAGTGACGGCTTAAAAAGGAAATTGGCACAAACTTTAATGGTCGGAGGGAGAATCTAATATTCTCTCCATCCATGCTCCCCTCCTCTCCCGAATTTTTTTTTACTGGAAATTTTTTAGGAGGGAGTAAGTACGTACCAGAAACAAATAGGGAAAAATGGATAAGGACTATTCAGTTTTTTTTTTTTTTTTTTTTTTTTTTGATATTCTGGTAAATTTCTTTCCTAGGAAAGCTTGATCCTATTTTTTTCTGCTTGGTTACAGAGTAATATATTTATTCTTAAGTATACTTGTAATAAAAAAATTTATTTAGAAGGTGGAAAACATATTCTTTTAGTAAAGAAAGAATGCTGGATTTCCTTCCCTATCCACCACCTTTAACTCTTTCCTCTGCATTTCCATTTCCTTTTTTCCTTTGTCCGGGAGCTTTTCTTCTAAAGAACAATGAAATAATAATAATATAATAAAAATCTTAATTTTAATATTGAAATTTTTTTTCATCGAAATATTTTGTTTTTTAAATTCAAAAATAACTTCATAATGTTTTCCTTTGAAACAAACACACTTCTCTTTCCCTGATTCTGAAGTTCTTTTCAGCTAACTACGACCATCAAAAAGCCATCTTTTTTACCTAAACATAAAAAAAGTGCTGTTTTATGAATGTTTCATCAACTAAGGAAACTTTGTTAGTCATTGGCAAAGGTGAAAACGTAGTCCTGTCTAAATCTAATAATGCCTTGTGCTTTATTTATTGGCTTCCAAAGTCTTTTTTAATGGATGTTTTAATTATTTTAACCTACTTTATTTCTTTTCCAAATGCTTTTAATAACTCTTTGCATTCTTTGGACATGAAAAGTGGTCCCTATTCCGATGTGGGTGGGGGGTTAAACCTGGTTACACAAGTGATGATGTTGAGAGCTCCATTATTATACATTAATCTTTGCATCTAATTTTTGAAAAATAAAATCCATCATTGCCCAATGTAATTGTCAGCTTTTTATGCATATCTTGAGGTGCTATCACATTATAAAATAACTCTGCATATTATCATTAAATAACAATCCATATTTGAAATTGGCAATGAAATTTAACTCACATTGATTGTTAAGTTTATTAGGAAATAAATAGACTACCTCTGTTTTCATTTGGTCTATTAAATTGTTGTTGATGTGAACTAATTAATAAAACTTTGAAAAAGGTAAGTGAGTGTAAGAAAAAAAAGGATAACTGAACAAAACACTTGAATAAATTAAAAGAGATGTATGGAGTAGTAAAAAGGCGGGTGTGTGTAAGAAAAATGTAATAAAAGATAGGTAAATGTGGCAAAAACAGGGTAGATAGCAAAAAGTCTTAGTCGAAAATGGAAACAATTAGAAGTGGATTGAACAAAAGCCATTCTGAAATGGATGTTGGGTATAACAAAAGAAAATGGTGGCATTACTTCCATAATTCCATTATATTATCTTTTCAGCTTGACATATTGATTGAAAATTGTGGTTAAGACTCTTAAATGTTAATCGCCAAAATCAAATACTCCCTCCATCGCCGAGTAAAAGTCTCATGTCATCCAAAACATGTCTCGTTAGACCTTTATTATAAACCTAACCCCACTATCTTATTTTTTAATCACCTTTTCCCAACAAATCCCGCTATCTTGTTTATTATATTCATTTTAAGATAATCAAATTTATGTATATTAAACCGTGTGAAAAAAGCATGCAAGACTTTATTTGGGGACGGAGGGAATATTTCCTTTGATTATGAGAAAGAGGGATTGTGTATTTGTAACTAATGAGTTGATTAGCAAGCTAATGTTTAAGAAATGTGTTTTATTTTATTATATTAATACTTGATTTAAATTTGGACTTCTTCATAGTAGTCACAATGGCGGCTAATTATCCAAAAACTGTCTTTCAATGCATTGCTAATTTGCTATGATTATCTTTTGACGAGAAGTGAAGTAATACTGCTCATCCACTCCTTTTAATATTAGGTTTATTTTTCTTAACTTAAATCTATATGTTTGTTCAATCAAGAAGGTTGCCACTTACTTCAACCTATTACTGTGATTCAGAAAATCACCATATATGTAGACATTCAAACTAAGCAAAACAGAAATCTTCTCCATGATTAAGACTACCACCAACTTTTGTGGATAGCCCTGTTTGCATCAGATGAAATATTGTTTTCACCTAGTGCTGCTGCTTTTGACATAGAATTTTTTTCTCTTGTGTCTTGCACATATTATAGCACCCGTCTTTGGTTTAGTGTACGGCTATTCAGTGAACTGTTTGTTGGTGAACTAGGACGTGAAAATGACAAGGTTGCCTTACAATTTGGCAATTTTTTTTTATATTTCTGTCATACTGTAAGTCAAGGGGTGAGGTAGTGGTGTCCATCTAAAATATTTAAATTGCCGTTAATTTTTACTTGCTGTTTTAAAATGCTTGGTGTATTGTGCATATAGATCTATTATATATACAAACAAAATGGTTGATGTATAATAACAACTTTTGGTTTGGTTTTACATTACAAAAAAAAAAAAAAAAAAAAAAAAAAAAAAAAAAAAAAAAAAAAAAAAACTAGGGATATACATGAAGGAAAAAAAAAAAAGGGATGTGCTTGTAAGAAAATTGGATGATTATAAATAGATGAAAAAGCAGAGGATCTACACAAAGGAAACATCTTTTGGGGGAATTTGATAATTTAAGATAGTATGGGCCATTTTCTTTCCTTTAATTTTCTTGGGATGATGTGTTAGTAATTTAACTGTGTTGGTAATCTTGGTATTGTACATGATTGCATTTGATGATATTCATGTATTCTTATATGAAGTTCGAACTATGAGAATAAAGGTACCGCTTTTTATGCAAAAAAAATGCAAAATTTTCAAAAAAATGGTTTAATTTAGTTGTTTATTTAGATAGAAAAATAGCCGAGTGTGACATTTGGACACCTACTGGTACTGAGTATTTGTTTGAAAAACTTAGACATTGTGGGTCCATCTAATTTTATAGTTCTCTCCAAAAAAGTTTCTTTCAAAACAATTTAAATTTGCCCACTAGGCCTTTACTTCTTCTACCTTGTTTTCTTACTTTTCCTCCCTCTACTTATATTCTGTCTAATTAACTTGAGCAAACCCTTCCTTAAAGCTCTCTTAAGAAGCATTCATTCTTCTTAGCCTAAACCCCGTTTTGTCCAACAATACATCTCTCTTCCACTCCTTTAAGTGATGGCTGCAGCCACTGATGTCCCCGGACCGTTAAAATATCAGGTATCTGCATATACCATGTATCAGAATCTGAGATTCTTATGCTACAACCTTTTTCCTGTTTCTTGTATTAATAATCTGTATTTTTTGTTGACAGACTTGGACCTTGAGAGTTCCGATACACTGCGAAGGTTGCAAGAAGAAAGTGAAGAAAATTCTCCAAAAGCTCGACGGTACGATCCCCAACCCCCTTTGATTTAGTCATTAGTATGTACCATGTATGATTATTGGTCATGTATGAATATTGGGTTTCACCAACGTAGTACATAGCTTATTCTGCTATTATTTTTCTTAGTTTCAACGTTATTGCGAGTTGTCTCATATTATGCTCAATATTGCAGGTGTTTATATGACAACAATTGATGCTCAACAACACAAGGTTACTGTGACTGGCAGTATAGATGCTCAGACCCTTCTTCACAAACTTGCTAAGTCAGGTAAACCTGCAGAATTATGGGCAGATAATTCTGTGAAGAACGAGAACATGCTCGAAGCTCCTAGTAGCACGAAAGAAAAGACTAAGCCCACAAAAGAAAGTGATGGGAAAAACAAAAATCAGAAAGCACCGGGAAAAGCTACTGAAGAAGGCGGTCAGAAAAAAGAAACAAAATCAGCTGATAATCATGCAGACCCTGCAAAAACTGTCAAAGGAAGTGAAGTCTCTGATAAGGCTCCTCCTCTTGACGGTGATAAGCCATTACAGTTAGAAAATGCAGGCGGAACTGATGGCGTTGATGGGACGAGCAATGGCAGCAGTAGTGATAAAAAGAAGAAGAAGAAAAGTAAAGGAAACAATGGTAATGCTGGAAATGACGAGAAGTCGAAACCTCCAGCATCAACTCCACCTGTATCAGTACCAGAAGCTGCACCAGTACTGCCTGAGACCCCGGCACCTGCACCAACTTCGGTGCCTACAGAATCTCCAATAATTCCTGCAGAATTACCAGTTCCTACAGAAACAGCACCAGCCCCGACACAAGCAAAATCAAAAGCAAAAGCAAAAGCAAAAGCACAAGCTCCAGCACCAGCACCAGCACCAGCACCAGCACCAGCACCAGCAGACGGGTTTTCAGGGCATTCGATGCACCATGGAAACCCCATCGAGTCAATGAACTTTGGACCTTCATCTAATTACGGACCTCCTAATCAAGGTTACCCAAATGGGCCATTTCACAGTCCTGACAATTTCGGTCCTCCAAATCAGCAAAATTACATGTACCCTCCTGCTCATTACCCACAACCTCAGCTCGGAATGAGTTACAGTATGGCACAACCCAGCAGTAGTACCTCGTTCTACGCTCCACCATACTATGCCTATGAATATCCACAGTATCACACAATGCATATTCCGCCTCCACCACCACCTTCGAATCCAATCAATGAGTTCTATCATGACGATCAGTATTACAACGACAATGCAGATGAAAGTCGATGTAGTCTGATGTAGTATCATAGATTCATATTTGCTTCTAGGATTATGAATAACATATGCACTATACTGTCAAACATCAAAGAGAAAAGCAAAATAAAAATTTTTGTTAAAATTCAGGGTGGAAATTATATTTTCTTCCTGTATTAAAATTCGTAGTTAGGTATTATCCTTGACTAGGATATTCTGTTCGTCTGTTAGAATATGTATATTTCCTTAGTTGTGACTTGTGAGGACTAAATCTTGCCTTTTTCTTTACTATGTGACGTGCATCCTCCTTAATTCTGATATGTAAAGACATACTTTTTAGTTAGCTTTGTCCTCCTTTTCTTTTTCACTTTCCGTTTTTGTTTTGCATATGAGGTCATTAACGACAGTGATATAGACGAGATTTGATCTTAGTCTCGGCCTGAGATTGGTCTCAGTCTCGGCCTGAGATTGGTCCCAGTCTCGGCCTGATTCCCTCTTGCCTTTGTTTACTCTTTCCTTTTGTCTCATTCTTATTCCTTTATGGTTGGAATTTGAAAATTGTCTTTTTTAATTAGTCTGGTTCTCATGCATAATAAGCGGTTTTATATGCTCGAGAATGTATTAGTACTTAAAAGTAGCTTTATTAAAGTAAACCTCAAGAAGAGTAGAAAAAAGGAATCTTATTAGGTGGAATCTACCTGAACCAAAACCCAAAGACTGCTTTATATTCAATATTGGTCATTGAACATAGAGATAATACTTAAAATTGGGTATCATTGTATCGAGATCTTCCAAGCTATGTGTTCTACCATAGAATATGGAGACATGTTGGAGTGATAGCCGTGTAAGACACATACAGAGGTGTGAAATAGGTCGTTTGGTTTAATTCTGATTTGATTGTATAGGTAGTTTGGTATAATTCTGATTGGATTGTATTAGACGGTACTCCGTAATTCATTTGATTTGATTGTGTCAGAATTGATTAATATTATACTCCATATTAATTGTCAATTATTTATCATATTTCATGTAACTATGTAAGCCCAAGCATGTAATTCATTTATTCTTGGATGTTGTTTGTGCAATATCACAAATTTACATGATTAAAATCAAACATTTTAAGAACACACATCCCTGTAGGTTTTCCTTTCAAACAATTACAAATTGTTCCATATATCTTGTAAAATAAATAAATAAATGCTCCATATTTCTTCAAACTAATAGTTGTTCAAATAATTGTGTAAATTTATTTGCTTGGAATCTTGTAGAAACTTGATCCCAAATGCACAATTTTGATCTAATATCACCCATAACAGTTACTCTGTAAAAAAGGCTAGACAAGCTCTAATATCTCAAAAAATACCAATTTGACATTTATTTAGATTCCAAATGATTAATCTCGATGAAGTCTTATATAGGCCAAGCTAAAATATCTATAATAATGTTTTTAATTTTTACTTCATCTTTAATTCTTAAAAGAGGTTGGTAAATATAAATTTAAAAATGTAAAGCACACATCGCGTGCATATAGATTTAGCTAGTTTTTCATATTACACGGTAATTGGCTCGTTTTCCGTAGCCATAACTTATCCTAGTTATTTTTAGTGACTCTTGTTGCTTGTGATCAATTCACAATATTTTTACAACTAGGTCGTGAACTTATTGTAATTTTAAAAACACTTATTAAGGTAAAACCTCAAATCTCAATTGTACCCAAGTTGTCTCAAGTCCCGAGTCAATTTGGGCCTCTAATAGATCCAATTGAGCACATTTATATAGTACTTGTAATGCACCTCAAAATAAGGTCTACTAGTTAAACTATGTGTCCTAATGTCCTATTACCACTAATTACGGGAGGCTAATCAAGCGGCGTATTATAATACAAGGCATAATTATCCTACTAATCCTAAATCCTAACTCTTATAGTAGTATATAGCATGCATTAGCATGTCAGAAAAATGTAGAATCTCTATGTAATCGCGGTACGAGTTCATGATTACAAGTGTATGGAGGATGTTACTTTAGTCTTTAGAGGCAGGGGATTAAGCAGAGAACCACCAAGGTGGTGTAATGAGTTACAATGGCTGATTACAGTAGCAAAGCTAGTAACAGCCTTCAAAAGAATTCTAAGAAAAAAGCTGAAATACTGCAGACTTAATTGTGTGGATAATTATTAAGCTAGTGGTACTGTTAACATAGTGTATGTTTAATGATGTATTGATAAGTTGAAGAGTTGGTGCAATGATTTAAATTGGTAGCAAATTAGCAATAATGTTATTCTTCTGACTAAATCTTAAGCATATGGTGCATAATATTTCATTATTGTACCCTTCCTAGAGATTTGCTCTCCAAAAAGTTGTGTGGATATGATACATATAGTACTATTTCTAGTAAACTACATGGATTTAAGCTAGTTGGTTTCAAACTCGGCTTCAAACTAATGGTGTTTCATTCTCACGACTCAAGCTCAAAACTACTTCGTATTGATTAAGCTGAAACAACTCTCTTAGTTATTTTGATAATAATAATGGGATTACTTTTGAGTGGCTATAATAAAGTTGTAGTCATTATACTTCTTCCGTCTCTTTATTAATGTCCACTTTCTCTATATTATGTGAGCAATAAATGATAGAAAGTGGACATTAATAAAGAGACGGAGGGAGTACTGAACGAAACTGAACAGAACTGAACTGAGCTGAACTGAACTGAACTGAACTGAACCGAGCTGAACGGAACCGAGCTGAACTGAACTGAAATGAACTGAGCTGAACGGAACTGAGCTGAACTGAACTGAACTGAACTGAACTGAGCTGAGCTGAACTGAACTAAACTGAACTGAACTGAGCTGAACTGAACTGAACTGAGCTGAACTGAACTGAACTGAATTTCAACGTAAGAGAACAAGCCCTAAATCTCAATTAATGCCTATAGTTCTTATACAACTAAGTTAATAAAAGTGGAATAATAAGATTTGTCTAGTTGTTGGGTTGGATCAAACATTTCCCCGCCCAAGTTTAGGTTATTGGTGGAGGAATTTATGTTCTAATTAAAAATTTATACGTAGATGTAAGATTAAGATTATGTATTTAAGTCACTATCATGTATTCCATCTATCTCTTTTTAGTTTACACACTTTTCTTATAAAGTCGTCATATATTTCCTTTTTTTTTTATATACATGACATGGACCTACTGTAATTATTTTTCTCATCTCACCATCCACTACCAATAATAAATAAAATATAAACCACTAACTATATCATAGTTACCCCAACTAAATTTGACTAAAATTTTATGCTGGTTAAAGTATATCAACTAAATAAAAACGAATGGAGTACAAATGTCTGTGATGAAAGAATAATTCTAACTTTCTAAGTCCAAATTTAGCAAATTCTCAAATCATCATCAGCAGCAGCAGCACTTGCATCCAAAAAAAAGGCCTAATGGTAGAGATGGCAATATTAAGTGGATATCCGCTAACCCGCTCCACCCGCTTAAAATAAATGGACGAAAATCCGAATTAAATGGATGAGAAGCGGGTGACAGATGAAGCGGATGATGGATCGGATCGGATGTGGATGATATTTTTTTCACCCGCTAACCATCCACCCATCCGTTTAACATATATTAAATTTTTAATCAAAGAATTTAACTAATAAAATATAGAATGTGCAAGAAAATTACTTGTCTTTTTTTTGTTGTAAATTAATTTTTCAAACAATATGTTGTTATTGTTTATTTTTTATTAATAAATTAAAAAAATTATTATATAAATAACCGAAAATTAAAGTTTATTTGAGTTTTTTTTTTCATTTTAGTACTCATCCATTTGTCATCCGCTCCACCCGCTTCATCCGTGGATGATGGACGGACGGATATGGATGATGGGTGAAGCGGATGACGGATGGATGTGGATGAAGCAATTAGGATAATGGATGGATGCGGGTGAAGCTCCACCCGATCCAAATCCGATCCATTGCCATCTCTACCTAATGGTATATAAGACTGCTTTACTGATTTTACAAAGTCAGATGATTGAACAAGTAAAACACATGTTATTTGTGACATGAATTATTATAATGCTCTCAATATACAGTAACATTTCATCATTATTAGCAAAATCTATCCCTTAAGCTTTTCATGCAAAGTCACAACTTTTATCCAAGAAGGCCTAGACAAGATATCCTTGCACCAAGCACTCACATTAGGACGCTCCTCGAACAGCTGCTTAACTTGGCTGTTCATCAAGTAGTGTACAATAGGCAAATGATTTAGATCAGCTAAGCTGAAGGCTTCACCAGCCAAGTACTTTAATTGAGTCAACCGCGCTTCAAAAACATCAAGGACCTTAGCCAACTTAGCCTTGTTCTCTTCGACTACAGCCATGTCGGGTTCCATGTCGAATATCTTCTTATAAACAAGCTCCCAACCTAGTTTGATTGCCACTGGGTCAAAGTGAAGGGCTTCCACCTCTACCCAAACTTCTACAAGTGCCATTTTTTTTGTATCCTTGGTTAATAATTGAGTTCCCTTGTTTTCATATTCATTTGCTATGTACCTTGTAATTGCTCTTGATTCTGTTTTTCCAAGTATGTAGCTAGTTTGTTAGAATTGAGTGTTTGTTATAATTTACTTTGAAATATTAGATCAATAAATAATGATTATTCAAATTATGAACACATAAAAGTATAAAACTTGATTATAGGTCTAAATAAACATTGATGTCTTCAATCGATTGTTCATTATATAATCTACTTTGTATAGTGCTTACCAAAAAGCTTGATGTCTCCATCTTCAAGAGCCGGAACTTGACCAAATGGCTGCAGTTACATGAAAGAACACGTAATTATACCAAGTATGCACATATATGAGCTAGTTACATTAAGGTAATTACCGAATTAGTGAATTTAGAGTGTACAATTAGTAATAAATAAAAGCCTTACTAGCTACTGTCAATAACCATATACAATAAAATTACAATGCAAGATTGTTATTTATTTAGTTAATATTTTGGTGTAGAATAAATGACAGAGGATCAGCATACAATTGTAATATAAATCATGAAATTTGGAGTATTGGCATTTTTGTTAGAGGATTTGATGAGTTTATGAAAAGAGTCCATTATCTCAAGTTATGATCGAACTAATTCCTTATATAGATTTGTCTTGGGTATAAGTGTACAACACTACAACCCCATAAAACTTAAATCAGCTAAGATAGTAAGACTTATATTAAGTTTTCAGTCCGCCATTTTTCATTACATAACTGAATTACTTGCATAATATAATGCCAATAGTGGTTTATGTTATTATATGAATGAGGTAATATTAATTGATCATTTGTTTGAACATAGTAATAAGACTAAGCTAATAACCGATACATTAATTTTGTTGGAGATTATTTTCACATATAGTTTTATTTTCCATGAACTACAAGAAAATTGTTTACTAGATCAAAGATGGTAAAAAAATCTTTAAATTCGAGACCTAAGAAAATTAAATATAAGAGCAAGAGCATATCGATTAACATACACTTGTAATAATCAACCTCTCTACACATACTTAACAAGTGAAAGACACATCAAGAGCAAAAGTACAAGAGCGAAGTTAGTGAATTATAATCTCAATCCGTTTTAATTTAGATGACACATCATTAATTCAAATTACACAATCAACATGACAATAATCAATTAAACTTAACACGTACATACGTTGAGGGAAAGATAAGGCATCTGCTTGTGAGCACCGGACTTCATGTCGAGTGGAACGTAGTCAAACTCCAACTCCTTCTCGTAGACAGCGGCTAATACTCGCATCACGTTTGGTGTTATTGGATAATCGCTGCCATAGACCTTGATCCCCATTTATGAGCTAATTTAAGACTAAACCAGCAAGCAAGAAGACTAGATGAAAGTGTGTACACACTACAAAGAGGAAATATAGGGTATATATAAAGGGTTGACTTTGGATATTTCGATCGAGGTTGTAAAGGTGCAGATCCCTAGAGCATCTAAGTTGCGCCCAAGATTTATAATTACATTTTACTCTTACAAATTTTACCAAAAAAAAAAATAGTGCAATTAACTCATGTTCTATTTACCTTATTAAAATAATATTGTTTAAACCGTCATACTAATTAAGTAACCCCTATAACACTGACTAAGGACCTGTTCTCATATGTTTATTTTCAGTTCAGCTCAGTTCAGTTCAATTCAGTTCAGGTCCTAAATTCCTTCTCTTATAAAATATTCATTTCATGCAGTGTCTTGTGATAGGATGGTGGGTATTAAACATCTGCACAACGTTGTTCGTGACACCCTTGTTGATATTTGTTAAAAGAGGGAACGACGGGGCTCTACGACCAGCAGATGTGCTTCTTTATTCATGGGATAGAGACCTTGATGTATGTGTTGACTTGACGGGGTCTTCACCTTTGACGTAATCGGGGTTGTCTGATTTCGTTTCTGGTCGTGTTGTGTCGGCGACAGCTCAGCGGAAGCGGGACAAGTATGGGGCGCGTTACAGGGCCATTGATTATGGTTTTCTTCCTTTCTCCTTTTCTTTGTTAGGGAAATTAGAGAAGGATGCTATTACGTTGCTGAAGCGGGTACAAGTGTTCGCTAAGAGTCAGGATATTGGTGCTCGTGCAGCTGCTCACATTTTCAGCAAGATCGGGTTTGCTATAACTAGAGGGGTGGGGGCCCATATTGTATTTTGGCTTCCCACCAATTTCTTGTAAATTGATTGACTTTGTAGATTTTCTTATAATAATAATAATAATAATAATAATAATAATAATATAATAATAATAATAGTATTTCTTTTTATTTGGTATTCTTAATTCTTCCATACAAATTTACCTAAAGTATTATTCCAACTCTTTTTTTAATTATCTTTTAACGAATTTTTATTATTAAGTTATTTTTTTTTAATAAAAGGGTAATATAATCAAATTGATTTATATATTTGATAATAACGATATTAATATAAAACTAACTTCACTTAAAATTTTCATCGTGTTTTGTGTGCGGCCGGCCACACTATATGGCCGCTTGTAAAAAGATGTAACCCTTATAACATTGACCGAGTAACCCTTGTAATTATTTTTTTAATCTAAAATATGATATCATATATTAATCTTTTGCTTTGTCTTTTAATATAGATTATGAGAACATAATTTTCTATATTTTGATGTTGATATTATATCAAAATGTATTTGTTAGATATAATTAATTTTGTTTTTTTTTAAAAATGGACTTATTATGTATGGCACGGGGCCTAAGCTAGTAAAGCAATTTAATATAATAACATAAAATTGAAAACTTTTAAAAAAATCTGGTTTACAATAATTATTGTACATCCATTATAAAGATAGCTAAAAGTGATTAAAAGTTACCTCTGAAATGAATAAAAGTTACCCCAATATGCGTAAAAGTAACCCAATTCAAATAAAAATTATCTACACTTTATTAGTAAAGAATCACATTTTAAATGACTAAAAATCAATTATTAGTGATTGAATGTAATTAAATAACCTTTATAAAACTTTTCTTGTTGTCTATTTATATAAAATTGTATTATGTTTAAAGTTACCCAAAAACAGGCAAAAAGTTACCCAAAAATAGGCAAAAAGTTACCCTAAAATTTGCTAAAAGTTACCCTAAAATTAGCTAAAAGTTATCCTTATATTACTCGATGTACACTAATATTAGTGTAAACTGGATGTATACAAAAGTTTGAATATAATGTTAAACAAAATATAATGACAGAAAGTTGAATATGACTAAACAAAAAATACATAGTAATGACTTATGTATATCCAACATGATATAGTTTTGATCCTTACAATAGTTTTTTTTTTAGTCAAAATTTATTGATCAGAAAGGTCAAAAAATAACAAATATAGAGATTTTAATAGTCAAAGTTTATAGATCAGAAAAGTCGAATATATACAAAGACTAGGTTAGATCCCGTGCCATGCACGGTGATTGTTATAGATTATTAATAGATAAATATTATAATCATAAATTAGTCGAGAAACAATAAAAGTATGTGATATGTTAAATTTTAATTGTAGCTTCTAATACACAATTAAAAATAAAGTAGGCAAAAAATAAGAAAAATAATATTTTGTTGTAAAAAAATCACAAAATAATTTATTTTAAGAATATAATTTTTGGTTTTTAGTTGTCCAATTTTCTGTTTTAGAAAAATTATTTGTGAAATATTTTTATTTTAAATATATTACATTAATATGGAATATGTACCATTAAAAAAAATGGAATATGTATAACAAATAATATTATTTTTGAAATTGATTTATTTCCTTAATTAATAGATTTTTTATATTAAAAAATAATTAATATTAAGGACACACCAGTGAATGACATGTGTCATTGCTGGCGTGTCTTTTAGTATACATACTCCCTCCGTCCCATAATTACAGGCAAATATACTATTTTGGGCGTCTCAAAATGTTCCTCCTATTACTTAAAATAACACCTAATCATTACTTACTTTTTAGCTTTTCCATACAAATTACACACATACCTAAAAAATCATTACTTACTTTTTCTCTTTTTCATACAAAGTACACACATACCCAAACAATCATTACTTACTTTTTAACTTTTCTATACAATATTCTCTACTTTTTATTATCCCCATACAATATTTTTCACTTTTTATCTTTTTTCATACAATATTCCTTTACTTTTCCATCCTCCTTAAAAACCGTACTTTTTAGAGTTATTTGTTTGTAATTATGGGACGGAGGGAGTAGTATTGAAGGCAGAAGCGATGGGAATAAATGAATAATAATGACCATTGTCTCATACTCTCATTGACCTTACAACTAGAAACTGAGTACATTCATTGGGCCAAAGTGATAAGCTCATATTAGAGGAGAACATAATTACATATAAGCCCCAATAACGTTCCATCCAAAAGCCCAACAATGTTCCGTCCAAAAACCAATTGATGATATGTAAGTTGTAGAAATTCCCATAAATTTTTAATTTCCTCTCTTTGTTTTTTTATTCTGTCAATCAAACAAGGAGTAAGTATAGGCCCATACCTGGTATGATTCATACCAAATTCTTTTTATGTTTCTAAATATATTGTTATTATTGATAAATATATTGTTATTATTGATAAATATAATGTTATTTTATAGTTTATACTGTTATAATTCTAGCGAGATTTTTGATGGAGAAAGAGGGAAAGAGGAAAGAGCGAATCTTTATATTATACTGTTATTTGTTGTTTTTATACTGTTATTATTAATTTTATACTGTTTTCACCCCTTAGTATGGACCATACCTGGTAGCGGCCCATCACGCCTCATCAAACAAGTATTCAGAATTCCATATTCAATAAGTCTTATAAATTTGCATTTCCTCCACTTTTAATATGTATTACGTATATGGTGAAAACAGTTTAAGGGCTTGTTCTCATACGTTTATTTTCAGTTCAGTTCAGTATTTCAATTTAGTTCAGTTTAGTTCAATTTAGTTTAATTCAGTTCAATTCAGCTCCTAATTTCCTTCTCTTATAAAATATTCATTTTAGTTCAGTTCAGCTCGGCTGAGCTGAGTTCAGTTTATGATAACAAGCCTAACTCATCATTTATTTTGAAATGAAAAGAGCATTTTCCGGTAAAGAGAAGAACCTCCGCCAGATCTAAACTCGGATTTTAAACTTTGAACAAATATTAAATTACTAAAATCACTTTGAATTATACAAGTTCAAGTTACAAGTGTACAATTGTTGCTCCATACCAGACCATCTGTCGTTCCCTTTGTCGTGGTAGATCACCAAATTCATTACTACACCTACCCACCCCCGGCCCACAAAACTTCTAAAGATAATACAATGTGACTAAAAACAAAGGATGCCGTTTGATATTAATTGGATGTAAAATTGTGGGCCAATTAGCCAAATTGGTATAAAAGTTATCACCGATGACATATTGGTATAAAAGTTAGTAATTTGTGACAAAATGACATAAAAGTTAGTCACCGGCGACATATTAGTATAAAAGTTAACAAATTGCGACAAATTGGTATAAAAATTAACAAGCAGTGACATTGCCCTTCTTTCTTGCCGAATGAGTTTTTTATTATTATTATTTTTTTTTAAAATAAATTTGTTGTTAATTCTCATTTTATAATAAATAATTCTCTCCTGCCTTCATGCTCATTCACCTAAGATAATCGATAAATAATAACAAAAAAAATCTCAAAAAATGAATGGAAATAGAAATTTTATAATTTAGTGTCTCAAAAGTGAAAATTGTCATGTAATAAGTTATGATATTTATAAATTTGGGAGAAAATATATTTATAATTGAATATTTGGAACAAAAAAGCTCGATATAATCTTGAAAGTATTTAATCAAAGAGTTTGATCTGGTAATTTTTCTTGATTAATTTTTCTGCATAATCTAGAATATTTCTCTATATTTTCCTTTTTTTTCTCTCGTATTTTTTTTTATTTTTTTATTCTTTAACTTTTTTGGGGGCTTTTGATAGTTTCCAAAAATAAATATTTAAAGAAAAAAAAAGGAAAACAATAGATTTAATCTACAACAATTAAGAATTATCTTTTGTACAATATATGCTTATTATTCTAAGAAGAAAGAGGGTTAAATGTCATCACTAATAAACTTTTATACCAATATGTCATCACATGGTAACTTTTATACCAAAACGTCACCGGTGACTAACTTTTATGCCAATTTGTCACAACTTGCTAACTTTTATACCAATTTGTCGCCGGAGATAACTTTTATACCAATATGTCACAAGGGTGCTAAGTTTTATACCAATTTGACTAATTGGCCGTAAAATTGTGTATATGTTACTCCCTCCGTTTTTAAATACTTGCTCCAATTTTCTTTTCTGACCGTTTTTAAATACTTGCTCTATTTTCTTTTTTTAGAAAGCTTTTACAATATTTTATTCATTTCTCACACTTGGTGGGCCCAACATAATACTCTCTCTCCTCCTATTCTTTCACTATTTTTGCTTTTCACAATTTTTTATTTTTCAACGACCCCACTACCTCTATATTTTATTACTTTCTCCAAATTCTTCTAAAACTCCGCGCATGAAGAAATGGATCAAGTATTTAAAAACGGAGGGAGTATCATGTAAGGGTCTGTTCACTTTAGAATTCAATTCAATTCAGCTTCTATTTTTCTTCTCTCGGAAAATATATAGTTTAGTTCAGTACAGTTCAATTCAGTTCTAACCAATTTAGTTCAATTCAATACATGTGAACAAGTCCTAAGTATGCGTTATGAGTTGTCAAAGGAGAATTAATCATTTAAGACTTTAAGGTTTAACTATAGTCCATAGATCATAAGTTCATGATGCAGCATAAATAATTTACCATTTATGTTTAATTTTCTTCTAAAAAATGTACTTAGAACTATGTCTGTGTTTGGAATTGATAGCTATTACTCTCTCCGTCCCTAAATTACATTCCTCTTTCTAGCATTTATTCCTCACATTATAGAGAGAAAGAAGAATGTAATTTAGGAACGGAGAGAGTACCTTTTAAAAGAGAGTTATATTTGTCATTTTAGGCATTTTCATGATTATATATCAATTATTAAAATTATTTTTTTTACACATTTCCCTCATATATTTATATTTTCCATACAGTTATCCTCATTCATAAATAGTTTTGAACGAGAATTCTCGAGTTATTTAGCTTTTAGCTTAAATCCGCCCCTTGTCACACATAGCCATGTAGTAAACACGGGGACAACTATTGAGTTAAAAACAACTAATAATGTAATCTTAGCCATGTAGTAAACACGGTGACAACTATTGAGTTAAAAACAACTACTACCTCCGGTTCTTATTACTCGCAACAAAGGAATATTATATGTCTCACAAATAATACCCCTTTGCTGCGAGTAATAAGAACCGGAGGTAGTAATAATGTGGCTAAGAGCCCAGAAAAACTAACTTTTTGTAGCTAAAAAAACTCGGGTATTATTATAGCATAAGAACAGCTAATCGAAGTCGATCCAGAGTCACAAACATTACAACCACATAGAAAGCAGAACACCAACATAAGATTAAGTGCATAAAACTCTAATACAGCAAGACAGTACGTCAGTACACAGGCTGATTATATTATAGCACGCCTTAAGTTTGTTTCTGCAAGGCCAAGGACTTTCCCCAAGAAGGCCTAGCCAAGATATCCTTGCTCCAAGCGCTCACATGAGGGCGTTCATCGAACAACTTCTTCTCTTTAGTACCGAGCACGTAATGCAGGGTAGGCAAGTGATGAAGATCAGCCAAAGTGAAGGAATCACCAGCCAAATACTTGGACTTAGACAAACGAGCCTCGTAGACATCAAGGATCTTAACCAACTTAGCTTCGTTCTCTTCAACTACAGCGTTGTCGGTTTGCATACCAAACATGCTCTTGTAAACAAGCTCCCAAGCGAGTTTACTGGCTACTGGATCAAATTGGTGAGCCTCGACTTCCATCCAAACAGCTAGGTCGGCCATTTCCTTTCCTTTGTTGTACACAAGAGGAGTTCCCTTGCTTTCATAGTTGTATGCTATGTATTTTGTAATGGCCCTTGACTCTGTTTCAAATATGAACATTTCGTATCAAAACATGAGAAAGACAATCAAAGCATCGCTATTCATGTTTGTTTAGGTATAATGCCTTACCAAATAGCTTGACATCTCCATCTTCGAGAGCTGGTACTTGACCAAATGGCTGCAATTATACGAGTAAATCAAGTGTCTTCTAGAGAACCAAATCTAAACTATGAAGACTAATGGAAACCAAACACGACTATAACGCCTCAGAAGCGTCCATTAGCAAAATTCTTTTAAAAATTGGTTATCATTTTTATAGAATTCCAATAGGATTAAAGTTTAGATTCTAGAAGGTGGGGTATAGTAAATCATTGATTACTCATCAATTATAATGGTGAATGTTATAATAATATACTCGTACAAATTAATTATATAACCAAAACACCACTCCTCCCATCACTTTCTATACTATGGGCCTATGTTGTTTCCTCACTACCAATTACAACCACTAATAAAACCAGATATGTAACCACTACATCGTCCTTTATCTTATAGAAATCTCTTTAAAGATTTTGAACATACAATAATTCAAAGTACCAATAAAAAAATATTATTAAAAAACATTTGAGGACGCGCAGCTAATTAAAATTATCTATATTAGGACATACTCTCATTTATTAAGCTGAGTTGAAATGATTTGTTTATGAGAGAAGGAAATTAGAAACTAAACTGAATTAAAATTAAGCTAAATAGGACAGACCCTTATTGTTTTAAATGTTACACTTGCATGTACTAGTGTGAAACTGTTTCTGATAAAATATGGTATTTTTTTTTTTTTTGAAACCGAGTGGTCAAATTGGGTGTGAAAGTCAAAGTTATAACAAATAGTCAATTCGTTGTCAAAACGTGTCGATTTGTTATAACTCTTCGTATTACTTTATGTACATCAATTGCATGTGATTTTATAAACCTTCTTTAGTTCCCTTAATTTCTCCACTTATTTCAGATAAGAAAATTAGTTTTGATCAAGGTTAATAGATTTATATAAACTCAAAAAAGAAATTTTATACGGAGTATAAGATAGATTAAGAAAAATTTAAATAAGTTGTGAATAGAACACATATAAGTTAATCATTTAAATTTGATGAATAACATATTTTTCTTATGGTACTAGAAAGAAAAAGGATGACAATCATGACACTAACAAAATGCCTTTAATAATACGAGAAGTTGGAATAATTATCTTTGTTTTAGAGTCAAAATTTGACTTTTTTTTTGACAAAAAAATTTGACTTGATTGACTTAAAAAAAATCTAATTTAAATTTCAATCGTCCATTTGAATAAATAATTTAGAATGACTCGAGTTAAAACTTAAATCCAACTCCCGAACATCTAAATTAACACCTCTATTGTTATTATACCTATTTTAAATGATATTCTACTTGATTTTTTTTTATTTTTATTTTTTTTGGGGTTCAACATTAATCTAGGTAGAATAGGTAAATCCACACAAAATCTAAAATAAAGCACTTAGAAATAGAGAGCAAATAAAACTTTAGATATTAATAATAATAATAACAAATCAAAGCATGAGAATTATGGACTAAATAATATAATCATAAATCATTATTATATTAACCATAATAGATGTAACCATCCGTTCCAAAACAACAAATTTTATTATTTTTTAAAAAATAAATTCAATTCATTAATAAAAAGTCATATGGAAGAGATCGAGTTTAACAAAAAAACTTACGTTAAGGGAGATAAAAGGCTCTTGTTTATGAGCACCGGATTTCATATCGATGGTAACAAATTCGAAATCGAGCTCTTTCTCATGAGCTGCCGCCACGGCACGGAGGGTGGCGGTGGACATAGGGCTTCCATGAATCTTAATTCCCATGTCTAATACTAGAACTCTAGAATCTTAATTTTTGTAAAAAATTTGAGAAGAAAAGCTTTGATTATTTCGTCGATGAAAAATGTGAAGTCACAAAGTAGAAAATTTATAGTTGGAGTTATGAGTGTCTAGAAGTCTCCACGTAACGTTTAATTCCTTTATTTGTGTTATTCTGTCTTCTTTTTCTATATTTTAAAACATGTTCTAGTAAAGTTTACTTTGACTTTTCTAGCGGCATCTTACGTCTATAATGACGTACGAAATTTAAATCTCTTCGGGTTGGTAGTAGGAGTAGTGATGACTGTCCGTCCGTTATTTTGTGATGACTGTCCGTCCGTTATTTTTTTTCTCCTGTATTGAACCATGGGTCAAATTTTTATAACTTTGACGATAAAGAGTATGTTCTCATTGAGTATAATAAGCTGAATTAAACTAAATTTATTAAAACCGAACTTATTAGAGTTGAATTGAATTGAAATGAACTAAAATGAATATTTTATGAAAGAAGGAAATTAGAAGCTGAACTAAACTGCACTAATTAGAGCTGAATTGAACTGAACTGAAAATAATCTGATGAGAACAGACCCTAATTATCAGTAATCTATAAAAAATAATATGGTTACGTAGAATCTTGTTAAATTCGTATCATTATATATTTTTTATTAATATAAAAGTTTTTAAGAATTTTTACGCGCATGAAATAAAGATAAATACGGTTTACTCCATCTGTTTCGCATTAGTAGCAACACTTTCTATTTTCGAACGTTTCATGTTAGTTATAACACTACTATATTTAGAAAGGACCCATCATTATTTTATAATCCCACTAACCCAACTTTCACAAATATTTTATTATTTCTCTTTCTTACCAATCCCACCAACACTACTTACAACGCATCAACCACTCTATTATCTAATACTCCCTCGTTTTTAAGTAGTTGCTCTATTTCAACTAAAATTAATAAAATAAGACTTATATTGGGTCCACTAGGTGAGAGAAATTAATTAAATATTGTAAAAACTTTTCAAATAAGAAAGTAGAACAAGTATTTAAAAACGGACGCATATGATTAATAGAGCAAGTATTTAAAAACGGGGGGAGTAGCTGCTATTTACTTGTCATATAAATAGCAGCTATGTACTAATACTTAACCAAGAAAAGTAGATATCGCATGATATTATACACTTAAGTTGGGATTAGGAGGTTGTTAGGTGTCTAATCAAGTGTGACATGAGCTTTAAATAAAGGTAATAGTACAATTTTTTACCATAAAAATGTTTCTTTTATAGTGTATTGCAAGTTTGCAACTATTTTGATAGTTCCATTTAAAAGAAATGTTGCAAATATAAATAAACGGAGGAAGTATTAACTAACAAAGGAAGTAACTCATTTATATAAAGAGTCTTTTTTTTTTGACATTGGCTTAACAAAACCGAATTAAAAACTTTGTTTGGCATTGTTTTCTGTTTTCAATTTTCTGTTTAATTGAAAACAAAAAACGAAAAACAAGAAACAAGAAAAAGGTGTTTCCACTTTTTTGTTGTCATCAATTTTCAAAATTATCATTTTTTTAAATAAGTTTGACTAATTTTTGTTTCATTATATGACTTATATCATATGAGTTTGAAACCCAAAAAACCTAAAAAACAGAAAACCACATCAATGCCAAACGAACCCTTAAAGTGTTACTTTGTATAACAACTCTATTTTTTTTTTTTTTTTTTTTTTTTGTGTGTGTGTAAAAAAAAACCTATTTAACAAATTATGATCGACAAATACTCTTTTCGTTTAAAAAATTACTTAGCACCTATGTATGCATTTGGAATTGATAGCTACTACCTCAGTTCCTGAAAAAGAGTTATGTTTGTCATTTTAGGTGTTCGATCTCATAATTACGTTTAAGTTATTTTCTAAATTAAAATAATTTTTTTACACATACATTTCTCTAAAATATACCTATTTTTCATGCAATTATCCCCATTTATAGTTAATTTTGCGTGAGACTTTCAAAGTTCAAAGTTTTATGAAGGGATTATGTAACACCCCAATAGTTCTTTCTTTAAACCTGTGACGACCCTGAACAATATTCAAAGAAATTACTGGCGTGCTACCGCCACGTGTTCAAACGTTAAGTTAAGGTTTTTTCAGAAAATAGCAGCGGAAAAACTAAATCAATTATATATAAGTTTCAAAATCAATAACCAAAACCAAACAAAATCTTACAACTTGGAACCATTAAGGCCCTTATTCAAAACTCAAACCAATAGAGATAGTATGAAAGTAAAGTTGAGTTTAAATAACTTTAAAAGTAAATAACAATAAAAATAAGAAAAGTAACCAACACTCCGCTCAAGATCTCACCATCTAGAAACAAATGCTGCATGTGTAAGAACCAGTGGTTAATCTGCTCCCCAATATTACAATTGTAAAAATTGGATCATCACATGGTCATTGAAAGGCGAAGGCCATGACCAAAGAAAGACACACTAAGCACGCAAATAACAAAGCTGAGTACATACAACCTGCAAAATATAAAAGAAATCCCTAACATGCTACTAATAATAAATCATCACGCATCATTAGTTTATAGACTCGACACATGACTCAATTATTTATCTATTACTAAGACTCCATTGATTAATATAATAATAGGTAAATCATTATTTTTATTCATTGGATTACGCAATAGACAAGGTTTTCCAACCCATGCTCAATTTGGAACATCAATAAAAGAAAAACTCCATGCCTCCTTTCGGAAACATCAATAAACATCCAACAACCACAGGCGCGACTCCGTGACCGTAGTTAGTATGAGATCTCACCTAACTCCTAGTTTTTTAAAAAAAATATTTGAAATAAAAGACTCGTAGATCAGACGACCTCGAGAAAATTGCACGGCTAATACCCCATGTACCCCAACCCTTGATTGTCATTACTCAAGATGTGCACCAATCCAGAGTTTTATTGCTCATTCATCTTGCACTTTACGTGATTTACAGGTTTATACTTGGTGATGACTCATATGCATAACAATACAAACATTCCAATAACAATTCAATCAAGCAAGGCAAGTTTCCAATTTCAACTCTTGATTTATTATTGACAAACAACATTTATTATTTAATCCTTTAACTACCTCGGTGTATAAACACCTTGAGTGCATAAGGCACCCCACAAACTTAACCTCGTCATATAAGACTTAAATTCTTCCTTTACTCATCCTGTTTGCATAATCATGAATAAGTAATAAATTAATCATTACACCAATCACATACCTTTTCCTCTAAGCGCACCTTGCATAATTTGAGCACAAATAATACTTGTAATATAAAATAGTGCACATCATATGAAATTTCTGGTTATTATTTTTTTTTAATTTCTGGTTATTTTTTTAAAACCCTAACCACCACCTCCAATCTTGTCCTTGCTCCGACTAGAACCACCACCATCTTCACCTCCCGCCGTTCTGCAGCCGGTAATTGTACCTTTATTATATATATATATATATATATATATATATATATATATATATATATATATATATATATATATATATATATACACACACACACTTTTTATTTTCGAATAAAAATTGACATTTTAGTTTTTACTATTTGTAGGATTTGAACATTTACTTGCTTTGAATCTCAATAAAAAGTGCAGATCTAGAGGTTAGTGACACTATAATTTTTAAAATTCTTAGTTTAGTTTATTCAAGTTTTTATTTTAAGTTACTTTAGTTTGGTTTATTTTATTATAATAATGGTTGAAATGTTAGTTTAATTTAGTTTATTATAATAATGTAAGACATGACATGTGAATTTGCTTTGATTTAGTATAATAATGTATGACATGATATGTTAGTTTAGGTTGATATTTTATTATAATAATGTACGACATTATATGTTAGTTTATATTGGTTAAGTTTAGTATAATGATGTATGTTAGTTTAGTTTAATTTATTATAATTTAATAATGTATGTTAGTTTTGTTTAATTTAATATAATGTTCATTAGTTTTGTTTAGTTAATGTAATGATTAATAATTTTTTGTATCAAATTAATTATGAATATTAATTGTTTATATATGATTATTTATATTAATTTAATGATGATTATGATATATTTGGTTTACTTATAATTATTATTATAATTTAATTAATTGTGTTCTTTACTTTATAATGGTTGTGTTATTTGCTTGGCATATTTTAAAATGAGCGTGTTATAATGATGGATGTGTTATAATGAATGTGTTATAACAATGGATGTGTTTTTGGCTTTATATATTTTTGAATGAATCATTTGCATAATCATCAGCCTAGATATCCGTTCAAGGCATACTCATTAGGAGTATGTCTAGAATAGTCCCCGGTTGGGACTGTCCTTAGATGTTTATTCTCACTTAGGTGGTGAATGTATTCCTTGTTATTGATTCTAGGGATTATCCTGGTTTGTCATTTCTCTACAATGTTCTCTGGGTACATATGACGGGTTATCTAATAGCCTAGATCGTGTACTTGGAGAACTTAAGGGAAATGCTGCTGGATTTTCCATGCAATTGAAAACCTGGCATACATTCGCTAGTGAGATTAAATGTCCAAGGATGGGTTAGGTTGGAGTGATAAGGACCTTTGGACATCATTTACAATCTTATTTTCATATTCATAAGATTTTTATGGATAATGAATATTCAATACGCATTGTGAGTAATGTGATTATACATATTCGTGAGTTGTGTAGAAGTTGTAATCATGAAACGAACATAACGTAGCTGGATGTATGAAAGGAAGGTTGGACATTCTATTAATCCGGAATTTATGAAAGGGATAAATGAATTCCTTAAATACGTGGAAGATCATCCCGAGAGCAGCAACCCGAATGAAGTTAGGTGTTGTAGACACCTAAAAATGTCTCCCCAAAACCAACCCCGATGATGAACAACCTTTCACCGCCATTATTGGTCGGGTTGAGTATTTAATTTTTGGAGTGCTTAAATCCATATTTACATTTCATAAACCAACCCAATTCCTAGCCCATTTCCCCAAACCATAACTTATTTTCCTATTTTCATGCCTTAAAACCCAAAATAATTCATTTCGTGTCCTTTAAAATCATTCATTTTGTGTCCTTTTTATAAAAACGTTTATTCCAGTTTATTTTGGTCCATAATATGGGTCCATTGATTAAATAGTTGGATGGGTCTTGAAAATAGATTTCCAACGATATATTATAAGCCCAAATCCGAGTTATAACGAATAAGTTATGGCCAAAATATTAAATTGAGCCCAAACCGAACCTAAGCCCACCTTATCTACGACCCAATGATCATGTGGAGGGTCCAAATTATTTAATCCAATTCCTAAACCAATCAGGATTAATTAAAAGCTTCTATAAGTTTCTAAAAGATCTTGATAATCCTTTTTGAAAAGATAAGACTAAATAGTTTGAAATTTAATAAAACTTTTCTTTTTGAAAATCCTATTTTTATCCGAATTGAAAGACGTTCAAAGATAGAAAGATATTATTTTCGTGCCTCATAGTTTTTATCCAAATATTAGATGGTTGGATAGCCCTTTAAATTATCTTTCCAATGATATATTATAATATCAATTCTGAGCTATAACGGAAAAGATATGAATAAAATGTCAAACTCTATCCAAAACTGACACCGTCTCACTATTTCGGCCATATCTTTTATTGTATAAAATATTTTAATCTGATTCTAATTGTTTTAGAAAGTAGACTTCAACAGCTTTCCAACAATATCTTATTCATCTTATTCCGATTTTTGGATCAAAAGATATGATAAAAACAAAAACCGCAAAAACTACAGTCTATCGAGTTTTATTCCGATTTAATTCGGATCTTATCTTAATTCTTCGACCCTTCTTTTTTCTCTATAAATAGAGGTCATATCTCCCCTTTTCCATTCATCAACAAGTTTGATCATCAAATAATTCTTTTCTCCCTCTTTATCCTAAACACAAGCCTCCCTATTCTATCATTTCTTCCTTAAGCACTCCAAGGAGTCCATACAACACCCAAAGTTCTATACTTAAACCAAGGTGTGAAATGTACAAATAACTGAGGGTTTGGACCAAATTAACCCTACTTTTTATTTAATTTAATTTAATTGTTTCAATTTGATTTATTTTTATTGAAGTTACTAACAGTTTATTCATGATGTAGCAATTCAAGGAAGCGCGGAAAGTGAGTAATTAATCACTTAATTACTCTTATTTTTATTCTTGTTGCTAGTAAATGATTAGGTTATTTTATATTTGATTTGACTAACACTATTATTGTTAAATTGCTTCCAATATTGATGTTATTCTATTATTATTTTGATCACCATATTGCATGTTAAAGGCATATGTAATTGAAAATCACGCCTAATAAGATAATTTGGACAACCGGTTTAGGTTCCTTTTTAATCTTGTTGTTTAATCAAGTGATCACAATATTTTAGAATTATGTGTTGCATTAATATTAAACCAATTTAGCATAATAATAGTTTGGAGCAAATTGAATCTTTGTTTGCATGCCTTTGAGATCGCAGGAATCACTTTTCACTATAAGAATCGAGTAGAGGCCAATACGGGCGAATGTGACTCCATGACTCACTTCGTACCATCATCCCTGATCCTCCTTTCGTGGTTCTGAACCGTATGGAGTTAGTAATCTCATGGATTATGAATGGGGTGTAACCTTCACGGGTCAATCATTGTTGCCTATCGTTGTCCCTTATCGTGGTTGCCTTTTTATGATCCGTGAACGGTTTACAAGTTCCTTAAAAACTTGTTGGCGGCTCCCTACTTTCCTTGTCCCTAATCGTATATGTCAATTCCCACTTCCTATGAGTGCCAAGCATATTCACAACATGCTTTTACGTAGGCGCACTTTGAGCGACGCCTACAGGTATCCATGTTTTAAATGTAAGAACAAACGGCTATGGGATGCGAAAACGGTTAAAATTCATTTTTACCGCAAGGGTTTTGTGCCTATGAGTGGATGTGTCATGGGGAAGGGTTTCCGGGAGTTCCTGAAGGGCTGTCAAATGAATACCGTGAAATGGTTTTCGATGCTTTTGGTCATAATGAAGATCAAGGGCATTATGAAGAGGCAGAAGAGGAGCCTAATGCACAAGCTAAGCATTTTCTGGATTTGTTAAAAGCTTCCGAACAACCATTATACGAAGGGAGTTCATTGTCTGTGTTAGAGATGGCTGCCCGAATTACTAGTCTTAAGTGTGAGTATAATTTTCCCTATAGATGTGTTGATGGATTTGCTCCTTTTGTTAATGAGGCTATTCCTAACAACAACCATATGGCCGATACATTCTATGAGGTGAAGAAGATTGTAAAGGGGTTGAAGTTGCCTCATGAAAAGATTCATGCATGCCCAAAAGGATGTATGCTATTTTGGAAGGATGATGTTCAGCTATCTACATGTCGGGTGTGTGTTAGAGACCGATACAAGAAGACTTCCAAAGGTAGCTTAGTGCCTTTGAATGTTTTAATTTACTTTCCGATCACACCGAGATTGAAAAGACTCTATGCAACTAAGAACATTTCGGAGGAAATGACATGGCATTCGAAAAATCCTCGAGTTCAAGGCACAATGGCGCACCCTAGTGATAGTGAAGCTTGGAAGCACCTCGACAATTGCTTTCCAGAATTTTCCAATGAGCCTCGTAATGTTCGACTTGGCTTGTTTACAGATGGTTTTGCTCCTCATGGTAAGTTTGGGGGACAATATTCTTTGATGGCCTGTCATATTAACCCCATATAACTTGCCTCCCTCAATGTGTATGAAAAGACAATTCATGTTCCTTTCATTGCTCGTTCCTGGTCCTAAGAATCCTAAGGGCAATTCGGATGTGTATATGCAACTGTTAGTAGAAGAGTTGAAACAATTATGGGAAGTTGGCGCAAATACTTATGACATTTCAAGGAAACAAAATTTCAATCTTCGAGCAGCCATCCTTTGGGCTGTTAGTGACTTCCCAGCTTACAGTATGTTGTCTGGTTGGACCACTACGGGTAAGAAGGCTTGTCCTTATTGTATGAATAAAAGCAAAGCAGTTTGGTTTGAACACGGTGGCAAAGTTTCTTGGTTTGATTGCCATCGCCAATTCCTTCCAACAGATCACCCTTTTCGAAAAAGCAAAACTGTGTAAAAACAAAGTCAAAAAAGGTTCACCGCCACACATCATGTCAAGTGAGGAATTGTGGGAATGTGTGAGACACCTTCCAAAGGCAACTGAGGGGCCGGAGGAACTGAAACACCTCAAAAAAGCTAAAAAAGGGTGGTTCAAGCAAACCTCGTTGTGGGAACTTCCTTATTGGAAGCATTTGCTCATTCGTCACAACTTGAATTTCATGCACATTGAAAAGAACTTCTTTGATCAGTTAGTCCACACCATAATGGATGTTAAAAAGCATACATGTGACACGCCATCGGCTCGAAATGACATTGCCAAATATTGTAAACGGCCACAACTTCATATGCATGAAGATGATAGAGGAAAAGAGTTCATGCCAAAAGCCCCATTCGCTCTTGACAAGGCTCAAAGAAAAGTGTTATGTGAATGGGTTAAACAGTTGCGTTTTCCAGATGGATATTCCTCCAATTTGAGCAGATGTGTGTAGATTTACAAGCCTGTAAGCTTCATGGAATGAAAAGCCACGACTGTCACGTGTTCATGGAAAGGTTGTTGCCCACTGCTTTGAGGGAATTGCTCCCTACCCATATTTGGAATGCGGTTACAAAGATTAGTCAATTCTTCCGTGATTTTTGTTGTTACACACTCATAGTTAGTGACATGGAGCTATTAGAGAAAAACATAGTTGAAATCCTTTGCAATCTTGAGAAGTTTTTCCCTCTTGCATTCTTTAACTCTATGGAGAATTTACCTATTCATTTTCCATATGAGGGCAAGTTATGTGGTCCTGTTCAATATAGATGGATGTATCCCTTCGAAAGGTAAATCAAAGTCCCATTAACTTCTTTCATACAAACCCTTCATAGTCATGGCCTATTTACGTAATTATTTATACTAATTTAAATGCAGGTTCCTTAATCACTTGAAACGTAAAATTGGGAACAAGGCTCGAGTTGAAGGTTCAATATGCAATGCTTATCTCACCGAAGAGATAGCAAACTTTTGCTCAAATTACTTTCAGGCGTCAGTTGACATAAAAACTCGGGATCTTGGTCGAAATGTGAATGTAGACGTGAAATCCACATTGGACAACGCTGACTTACCAGAGTTGTTCTTGGTGGATAGCGGTCGTGTCTCAACTGAGGGTAAAAATCGGTACTTAGATGAAAAGGAACTCGAGTGTGCTCATTTGTTCGTTTTACAAAACTGCGGCATTCTTGGTGAATACGAAAGGTATACGTGCTAAGGATTGAATTTTATTCATAGTTTTGAAGAATTAATTTGGTTGAATTACTAATTTATCTCGTGTAATTGATCTAATAAGAAGTTTGAGGACTACTTTCTTAGTACCTGCCCTTTTTTGCGTAGAGAAGAAGTCATGGAGAAATGTGACGTCAAATTCTCTATTGGTATCACCATAAGGTGATAGAATGGTTCTAGTTGGTCTTTAAATATGACTTTTAGATATTGCAATTCACTCTAATTAATTTTTTCTATTGTGACGTAAATAGGTGGTTGAAGAGAAACCAAATTTGGATGTCCTCCAAGCATTGTGCATGTGTCCTTTCAAGCGTGTTCGAACTTGGAGGCAGATTTTTGTTGGTGGATTTAATTTCCATACACATTCCTATGGTAAACACAAGTCTACGATGAATTATGGTGTTTGTGTGTCTAGTGAGGACGGTGGAGAGTACTTTGGCATTCTAGACGATGTAATTGAACTTGTCTACACTGGTCCAAAAAAAGAGTATAAGACTATACTATTTAAGTGTAGTTGGATGGATTGTGGTAGGGGTATGAACATACATGAACAATACAAGCTTGTCGAAGTGAATCATACTAAGAAATACCCCAAGTATGATCCCTTCGTATTATCTTATCAAGTGACCCAAGTGTACTACACATCCTACCCTAGCCTAAAACGGGATCAAGTTCAATGGTGGTCTGTATTTAAAACATAAACAAGGTCAGTGGTTGATGCTCCAGTAGACCTTGAGTTTTTGCAGGCACCGTCCCCATTAGTACATGCAACACTTTGTCCACCGAATGACATTCCTGACTACGACCCAGTTGAGGATGCTGACGAAGATGATGATGGCGACTTAATAATCTCAAGCGAATCAGATGATGAATCCAGCGTCGACTCTAGTGACAGTGACGAGGATGATGACATCGATGTGTTTTTAGATGATAGTAGTGATAATACCAGTAGTGGTAGTAGCGATGAAAGCCACGACTAGGATAATGTGGTTGTTATTGTAAAATAAATAGGATGCATTTGCTTGTACTTTGAATGTAATTGTTGGTTTAATTTGATTGTTATTGTAAAACCAATTAAAGAGTTTGTCGTTCTACTTTATTTCTTTTACATCTCATTGTACTATTATTTTTTGTAATGTTAATAATATCATAGCATGTTACTAACATTTTTTTTCAAGTGGCAATGGCGGGAGGGAAAAAAGGAGAAACATCGAAGAGAAGAAAGGGATAGGAGAAAAGACAAGTTTTGATATATGATGATGACGAGGAAATGGAGGACGCGAAAGATTTGGGTGACAACGAGGATCCTCAAACACAGATGCAGATTGAGCATCATGAGCAACAACTTCAGGGGCAACAAGCCTCACAGTCTTCTGAGAGGGTGGTAATAGACCCTGCCACGTGCTTGAATGTATTAGTTGTTATTTCAATCCCTTTGTATCCATATTTTATATCATGACCTATAGATTACTCTAACATGAACTACTTATTTTCTTTTTGATCTTGATGTACGTTAAAATAGGTTTGATGATAAACCCGTGGTAAAGGCCATCTCCGGTACCCTAACAGGCTACTATTGAAAGCCTTGGAGGAATTACGTAGAGGTTGATGCTAAAACAAAGGAGCATTGGTGGAACTTGTTTTGCGTATGACATTTTATACTTATAATTATGTATTACTAAATGTATTGATTGAGTTTTGGTTGATAACTTTAAATGTTTGTCAATTGCAGAAGCAATGCACATGGGCACCTGAGTTGAACGACCATGTGAAGAGAACCTTCGAATCCAAGTTTGCATATCGGCTGAAGGACATGTTTCACACAATCACACACAAGATGAAAGGTGAGAAGCCGGACTGGCTTATCGAGGATGTCCACCGGAAGATGATGCACAATGTTGCTAATGATGATACGTACAAGAAACGGTCCGAACAAAACAAGTAGAACAAAAGAGGCGGATCGATGGACAATGTGGTGGAACCAACCCACTACTAGGGTTCAATTTCATCTGTACAACATGCAAAAAGGATGGTTAGTTTCTTTTTAAGGCAAGTGAAATAGGTAACAATTGTGGTATACATTGAAATGACAAGTTTAATTTGTTTTGGTGCATGTACATTCAAAGGTAGCAAAAAACAAAGGGCAGTTACCTACTGCACATGAGCTTTTCATGAAGACACACTTCAAGGAGGTCCCTGGGAAAGAAATGGTGCCTGCAAATGCCAAAACCAAAAACATTGCGGTAACAACTCTAATATAATTTTGTATCTAAACTTATTATGTTGGCTTAAACTTAAAACTTAGAACGTAGCTTCTTTTAAGTCAATTGAAGTCAAATTTACTTGTAAATATGTAATTATGAGGTGGTTTGAGAAAGAGTAACATCATCAGTTAAGAAATGAAGAAAATAGGCATGTAAGAAGCCATTTTGGCTTGAAATGGCTTCATTTTGAGGATATGGACCCACAAACTTAGATATTTGCTTCTTTAATGTGATTTCAAGTCATAATCTCTAATACAATGTAAATATGAGATGGTTTAAGAAAGAATGAGTTCAAAAGTTAAGAAATAAACAAAATAAGCATGTAAGAAGCAATTTTGGCTTGAAATGGCTTCATTTTGAGGATATAGGCCCATAAACTTAGAAATATGCTTCTTTTATGTGATTTAAAGTCATAATATGTTATAACTATGTAAATATGAGATGGTTTGAGAAAGAATGAGTTCAAAAGTTAAGAAATAAACAAAATAAGCATGTAAGTAGCCATTTAGACTATGTTTTCTTTATATTTCTATGCTCCTTTGTAGTCGTTTATGTCGTGTTTTTAGAGAATAATGCTCGATTCGCGTGTTTTTGTGTTAGTTTAGAGAAATGCATGCTTTTAATGGATTTCTTATCATTTTATTCATTTCTCGGCTATTTCTCTTGCTTCTCCGTTTATTTGTCTTGTTTTGTAGGTACGTCGCGGGCTATTTGCATGGGAATTGAAAATAGCACCCACTAGGATCAATATGCACTTTTCGGAATTGAATTTGAGTTTGAAACAAAGGAAAACGAAGGATTGCAAAGTATCAATAGGACCTTTGTGCATTGTTTTAGTCATATCTGAAGTTCTACAGATTAGATTAGGGTGATTCAAGTTGGGTTGGAAAATAGACTTGAAGAGCTTTCCAGTGATAGGTCGCAAGCCTTCATAAGATTCATAGATCGGAAGTTACAGCCTTCTGAATTTGGGCCTGGAAAACTGCCGCGGGCGCGGGCTACAGTACCCGCGGGCGCGGGGTTGCTGCAGCTCCAAAACTGTCGTATTTGGGCAGTAAGCACCCGCGGTTGTCCCGAGGGATCCCCGAGGGCGCGGGCTTGGGCCGCGGGCGCGGCTATCGGGGAGTCCGTTCCCCTCCGCGGGCGCGGACGATTTCTTTGCGGGCACGGGCTTCTGGGTCTTTTACGATTTTAAACTTCTTTTCTCCTTTTGTTTATATAGTTTTTGTTTTCCTTTATTCTTCATTCATGTAATTATTTAGTTTTAGAATATTTTTCTCTCTCTTAGGTTGAGAGCTTCTCTCTCTAGATTAGGCTATATTAGGAGTAGTTTTAGAGAGAGAAAGTGAGGAATTTCAATGGTGATTGAGAGATTGAAGATGCAAGTGTGACAATTGTGTTGGAGATCTTCTTAATTATCAATGAGCATTTCTAAACTCTATCTCGTTTAATTGCTTTGTTTAATTTGATGTTTGTTTGGTTTGATTTTGATGTTTGATTAGAGTAATTGTTCTTGATATTTTGTTGATTCTTGTTCTCTATAGTTGATAGTTGATTTGATGATGTTGTTTGAGTAGTTGTTGGCTAGGAATTGGGTGAAACTTGTATGATTGTTTAATTGTGATTAATTTTGGAATTGTGTTGATTAATTGTTGAGATTAAAGTGATTAATGAAGGTTTGCATGTGTGTAATTCAATTAGGCCTTTAGAATTATGCTAGATTGCATTGTAATTGCTAATGACACGAACAATTGATTTAGGGATTGCAATTGTCTATTGGTTTTGATTGTGATTCTCTTGATTTGTTATTTATAGTGAACTCTAGCTTAACAATTAGGAGATAGCTCTTTGATTCCAATTGATTGCTCTTTTCATTAGTCCTCACAACCTTTGATTGACATACTCTTCCAAGTTGTTGCAATTGACATGATTACTTGTTGATCTCGTTTCTAGTGTTTTATTT